CCAACCCCATGTTGGTGCCGATAACTTCCTTTGGTTTCTTTAATAGATTTCTCTCATTCTCACAAACCTGCTTGCCATCTGGTACAGACTGGGGCTATGCTCCTGCCTGATTCCCACTTTGGAGGCCAAAATATCAGGTTCCCACCAAAACTACTGAGCTCAGCTGGAAAATCTTCCTGACTGCAGACACTGTGCAGGCACAGAGCCCATATGTATGAATGCACAGATGACCATTCAAAGAAGGTCAGTTGCAGGTAAGCAACCTTACTTTCTTTAAAATCATGCAACATAGCTATTCCTGAATTAGCTGGAAGTCAGATGAGAATGCTGGATCCACATAGCACTCCCTCAAACAGTATTTTCTGCTTTAAAATTCCCATATCCTGTCCACATGACCAACTGTGATCAAGAGAAAGAGTGGGGTGAGGGATACCTGCTTTTGAAATTATGGTGGGGGAAGATGGATCACTTCCTGCAGCTTTTAACTTTAATTTTTAAGTGCACGATTATGTTTTAGTGCATCAAATTGTATTTCTTAGAAAGGTACAGTGGTTATAGTACAGTATGTGCATTAAAGCTTAATCTAGAAGCACCCCCACCCCGATATTTATGGAATGAAGACAAAATGTGTGCACAATGCTTTTGACTGAGGATGCTTCCAGATGGAGGGGTCCTAGCATGAACAATCATAAAGCATTATGGAGTGACCCTGATTTTTCTTGCTCATTGGATTTTTGACTGTAAGAAAAAAGATGGAAGAAGTAGTGGGAAAAATGTGAGGGTGCTGCAAATTGATGACAATGGGTCCTTCTAGAGGGAGGGTTCCTAGCTGCTTTTATTTATTTACATTTATTTACTGCCTTACCTGCAAAAATGCTAGCAAAGTGGTGTATAACAATTCAAAACAAAGCTTAAAACATTAAAAAGCAAAACCATCAAACATTTTTGACTGCACTCCTATCAGAAGGAAAGCTCCAGTTTTACCTCCTCTTCCCCCTTTAAAAACACAAAATACAGGCCTCTGAGCTTGTTTAGCTCCCTAGCGGGTAGAAAGTGGCTACAAGGCTGGAGAGGCCGTAGATCTGTGGATCATAGCATCTACATTTCCCTCCTCTTCCTGACCACTGGAATACCCAGTTGGTGACCTCTCTGAGGTTATCCAAGGTTGCTGTGGTGGCCTTAGAAAGCAGATCTCTCAGTGACAGCGAATGGGCAGCAGTGGGGCAGGTAGAGAATTTGCTGGAGGGTCATAGATGTAACTACAGCCTCAGGAAGAGGAATCTGAAAAAATTCTGTAGTTCTGGAATGTATATAAAGAGATGCTTCTTCATACCTTTTCTAAAGCCAAGAGAATGGGTGCCAACCACAGTTCTTTAAGGAATGCATTCCATAATTTGGGCATGACTCAGGGAAAAGCTCTTTCATGTGAACCTGAGAAATGGGTAGGAAACACAATACACTGAGCAGCTGTTGCATCTTTTTCTTCTAAATGGGTTTTCTGTGTTAAGGGAAAAGGCAGAAGAAGCCATGAGAAAACAGTAGAAATCACCATGCATAGAAGACAAAGATGCTTGAACTGTTGTACATTTGCAAAAGAGGCAGGGCAATGGTGCCATGAAATCCTCATCTGGAAGCTCCAGGATGATGCCTGAAACCCCACCCCACAACTTTCCAAGAATAAGGTACAATGATGAGATATCAAAATTCTTGTCTGAACTACCCACATAGCAAGAGGAGCTCTCGTATGAAAGTGTAAGTTGGGGTGGCAGGAAGCAAATATATTAATTAACTTGTAACACCAATGTGAGCCTTTCTAAAATATGGAAAATGCAACAAAAAGTCATGGTCTTACAAGTAATAGTGGAAGCAATTGCATCGCGGAAACATATACTGACAGGTCCAAGTCACTGCCCCCTTCTCTCATCGGGGTAGCACTAATGTTTTGCCAGGGTTTGTGGTACCATGCAATCTATGCCTCAATTGTGCTGTAAATCAGAAGAATTGCCATACATCAGATATGAAAGGAATAGGATGGCAGCATAGAAAATAACTGAATCCAATGACTTCCCAGCGATGTTGTGTGGATATCGTGCAAAAAGTCTGTGACTGAAGCATACCAATTCCAAGGGAAAAACCCCAGGTGTTTCTAAATGGAAACCTCTAGCACAATTGATCAAAAAGCATCATGCAATTGCCCCGACATTTTCTTCTTAGCAAATTCTCTGTGATAAGAAAAAGGGGAGAATAAGTGGTGGAGCAAGACAAGAAGGTTCCAAGAGTGGTGGTGGGGATGTCATCTGGGCCACTAGTAAAATTCTGTGATGGAGCAGAGCAATTGTGCAATAAAATCTTAATCTGGAAATCCTCTGAGTGAGGAAGCAACCAAGAGACCATTTGGAACATTTGACAATATCCACAGCAAATAGTATTTCTACCATACGTAAAGGGGTGCGTAGTGGCTCCTATGTCAGTGGGGCTCCTCATACATTGCATCTTTATATCAACTTTATATCTAGGGTGATGTGTTCTATTCCCAAAATAGGTTCACCGGTATGCAGCACCATGGAGAGCTCCTATGAAGCCAAAAAGAAAAGCTATAATGGCTGCAGAGCCCTGCTGGCATAGGAACCATCATATATCATATGAATGCTCAGTCACATGCTTTGACTTCAGAATGGATTGGCTGAGTCACTTATATAAAATACCCCATGTCACTGATGGTACAGTTGCTAAAGTGATGGTAAAATGGGTGTAAAAGGATTTCAGTCATTTAACTGATGAGCCAAGCAGATGGCAAATGCTGCTCAGTGGAGAAAATAGGAAGCAATTAGTCTAGGAACAAAGAGCAAAATTGAAATAATGTGTGAAAGAATGAGAGAATAAATGGGGGGTATTACTGTGGAAAAATTATAAAAACTGTCACTCTGATTCACAGCTGCAATTAAAAAAGAAGAAATCTATAGTGATGTAGGAAATCAGAGAACACAGTTCAAATTTTCACTTAGTGCCACAATTGCTGCAGGAGAAGTCAAGTCATGCCACATGTATTAATACGGGGCTGCAAAAAGTTGTTCCATGTCTTAGTAGCATGGATTTATTGTGGAAGAAATTATTAAAATGAAGGTAAGCAAAATCCAGAGAGAGAGAAAATGTGAAAAATGGGAATGATATTGGGTGAAAATAAAGATAGAAAGGTGTCTAGTAATTATAAATAAGAACACAGGGCTACTGAATAAGGAGAATGTAGCAATGTGGAGAATTGTATTACGGTTCATATCTAACTGTATCTTACTGCACCAACTAACCTAACAGAAATATTCTAGTCTTAAAGAAAAAGGGTTTAGCTTCTGCTATCTTCAGTTGCTCTGACATGAGCCACAGGGTACAGGGATACATACTCTTTGATTCACATCAGAGCAGCTGGAAACTGAAATGAAGACAGAAGCTGAAATGTTTTGGTTTACTTTTTCTGTACATTATTCGTCTGTCTGTCTGTCTTGTGATTAACTGTGCAATATGCAATGTGTTCTTTGATGCTCTAAAATCTCTTTTTCCCTCCCTTTCAAAAGCTTGTTGCCAAATTAAATTATATTGAACTCATAAGCACGAACTTAACTGCCTGAGTTTGTAAAATTCAGTATTTTGTATACAACAAGTCATATGGTGGCTTATTTTGAATAATACAGTCTAATATTCATGGGAAGAGTTTAGGGACATGCTGGATAACTAAACTCCAACCTTGCAACAACAATTTAAAGAACTGTGTAACTGCCAGCTTTAGATATTTCACCACGTATTGCTCACACACAATGACCTGGTTTGCACAACATGACAACTTACTGGGAATATCTCTCACTCAGTTTTCATGAGCAAAGATCACTTGCACTGTTGCTTTCTTTAGGCAGCTCACTGTTTGACAGAGAAAGCAAAGGAAATAAAACCTTGTTGAAGCCTTTTGGGGGCAGGGTCCAGGGTCAGTACCTTTTGCACTTAGGCAGTAGATCCCTGCCCCCACCCCGCTGACATTACCCCAGCCAAAGCTTCAAATTTCTGCAGTTGCACAACGGTGGCCTCCACAGTAGTGCAGGTACAATATATGCATCATGTAGAATAAACATATTTGCACATGTTTTAAAATAAAAATAAAGCTATTGGTGCCCCTTGGACAGTATGAAGGGCCTGTCAGTGGCTGTCAAAAGTGGGATTGCAAAAACCAACTGACAAATTGGTTTTTACAATCTCTGAAAAGGAGGTAAATGGCAAAAAGCCATAAGATCAGCTTCAGATCATGGCAGGAAGGGAGAAAACAAGTTGCTCTCAATGTAGTGTCCCCTTGCGAGAGGATCAAGGAGAAAGGAGGGAGTGAACAACCAATCAGGAATATTATGCATTGCTCACCACCTGGTCACCTCGGCTTATTGCCTGGCTGGGCTGGTGTGACATGCAATCTCATCCAATTTCTTAATAACCCAAGCCCAAGCACAGTGTGCTTGCTTTTAAAACAATAGCCCGCAGTCGAGATCTACAGGAACTTGGTGCCCAACAGCTAATCCAACGTTTTTTTTTTTTTTTTTTTTGCCCTTAGGCAGAACACAAAGCCTTATACTTAAGCACCAAAGTCCTCGCAGATTGATGCATGTGTATATATGGGTTTAATGGTTCTGGTCTAGATTTAATGGCTATTAAAAAGTTATTAATATAACAGAAAGTTATCAGAAAGTGTTGCATACATCATCATCATCACTATTACTATTATTCAGTTTTCCAACAGCTTCCCTCTTATATTGATAATCTCCTTCTGTCATTCTGTGTTGCCATCAAACTAAGTCTCACATGAAAATCTTTTAGAATGATTTCACCTTTAGCTTTGGAAAAAGACCGACACAAGAATTTGTGCATTTCAAAATATGCTTTCAAGAAAACACAGATAATACAAAATTGTGATATTAAGGGTATTGGGTTTATGGTTTATTATCACATTAAAAAAGTAATCTTATTGATGAATTAATAGTAACTTTTTAATATAAAAGTGCTTTTTTTAAACAAATCCTTAAGGCTCATTCTGTTACATTACAGTAAGTATTCTCACCATTCCAGCAACTGTGCTACATGAGTATTGTATGAATGACAGAAACAGCAAAATCTCCAAACAGCAAAACAATATGTCAACATTTGCATCACTTTAATACACATGAATTAACCATGTAACAGATGGTTCTATAAATTAACAAACCTCTCATATTATTCTCTTAATCCTGAAATGGGTCCAATGGGTTGTTTTATTTTGCAAACTTGGCATTGAATCAATGTAGTTGCTCAGCAATGTAAACTAGTTTGATAATTTTCAGGGCACAGACTGATACAGATATTATATGCACCTCCTACAATTCCCATTCCAAAACAGGGACCACCCAAAAATCTAACAGTGCACAGTCAAACTGTTCATTCTACCAGTCACATACCTGCTTGAGAGGAAACTCCAAGGAATTGCAACCACTCACACCAATGTGGCTCTAACAGACAAGTAGCATGTAATCAGCGCTGGAGCCAACTGGCAGACTGCTGCGGATGGACCCTTGCCACTGTTGCAGCTCCCACATGCCACTCACCAAAGCTCCCCCGGCTGATGCTGCGTGATTGTTCATGCAGCAAAATGTTCATCCTGCTTGCCAGCCCACCTTCCTTATATCCATTCTAGGGCTTTTTTTTAAAACCTGGGGGAGTGCAATTGCTGCTGCTGAGGTGGAAGCAGCAGTAGCTCTTCACTTGGCCCAACCAGCTGCAGCGGCAAAGCTAGTGACCAGGCAGTCAAGACTTCAGCTCCCTCCCCCCTTAAATAAACTTCTTTTCTGAGTAGTCGTGGTGGTCTGAACTAAACAGATACTGCCTTTGGTGGGATTCGTCCAGGAAAGGCACAGAAGGAATAAAAAGGCTGCCGCGTGCTCTCAATGGACATGCCCTCCAGGCCCATTGCTGATTGGTTCAGATTGCTACCACTCAAAAAGAAAGTAAAAACATTTATTCTTTTAAAATGGGGAATGATATTCCTGCTTGCCTGGGACACTTCCATTTGTTACTGGAGTCAGCTGGGAGGGGGATGGTGGCAGCTGTAGCAGGGTCAAGGATGTGGGTCCTTGGAAGCTGCCCACACATGCCAATTGCTGAATTGACCCCTTCAGATTATTAAAAAACTTGCATCCATTCTAATCTATACGCAAGCACTGACTTCAATAAAGACATTACTTCAGCCCCAGCTACATGATTGCTCAATCGTTTGCAAAAATTAGGAGAAGGGAATGACTATAAATTGGTTTAGTATCAATGGCCTTCTGTTATCATTTCCAAAGAGGCAAAATGGAAAAGCACTTCCTGTCTGTTCATCTCACATATAGTGTATGCTTTTTAGGTTATGTTATGTTAATAATAATTATAACCTTCCCTTAAAATTACCTATATATTAGAGGGACACTGACATTGCTAGTTCTACTTAAACATTCAGACTAGTTATGGTGTAAATCTGTGGTGGGCAAATTGTGGCCCCCCCCCAAACCTTTTTGCCAACAATTTCCATAATCCATCACTATCTGGTAAACTGGCTAGGGCTGATGGGAATTGTAGTTGCCCACTGCTGGTGTTCATTCTTCCCAAGTGATTGAAATTCAGCAGCCACAGGCCTCAGATTAATTTCATGTAAAAGAAAGATCTTCACAACTACAAAGGTAGTTTAGAAACCAAGAGCCAAATAGCTACCATGCCATACATCAGACAATGCTGTTACTTTCTGAAGTACCTTTGGAGCTTGGAAGGAAAATGTCAACTGATCCAATAAATTAAGAATTTCATTCAAGAATGCAATGCATTTCAACAATTATATATACACAATATACACATATATGTCTATATATATCTATATCAATATATACATTCACATATTTTACAACATAAATTACTGTACAGGATACTTCAGTTCAATATTTTGCTCACTTAATGTAAACAATAGAAATGTGTCAATGTATTGACATATACAGAAGAACTGTACACAGGCTGAGTAGATGCTAGCAGAGAGGTGCAGGTATTTACGGGAAGTCCAACATCCTATTGCTTTTTCCATTCTTCATAACAATGCTGGCATTAAGAGAAAAGCTGTAACTTAGAAATAACTGATTTGTGTGTTAAAAAGAAAGACAAAAATGGAAACAAATCAAAACATGTAATACCAAACCTGAACAGGACTTTGCTGAAAGACAGTGGAAATTGTTGCCTCTGGCTTGATAGTATACAAAATGGATTATACACACACAGAAACATGGACTATATAATCCAGGGCAGATTCTTCTGCTACATGCAAACAGTCCTTACTGAGTCTGGCTATGCAATTATATGCATAATGCTAATATAACTGGTGGGCTATCAGCTAGCTGCAATATATGTGACCATGGCCTCTGGAAAATGCTCTTGTGAACTTGGAACTGGTTGTCAGCCATCTCTGTAACCTTTCATGTTGCACTTGGCCCCAGAATGGGCAGGTTACTTGTGAGTACAGCCCAGTATCTTGTTTCAGCCTGTCCTAGGTCAGGCGAATACCTTAATTTATGTCCAGTTCACCCAACTGCAGGACATACAGCAGATAAGCTGGATCACAACTTGACAGGCTTGCACATGAAATTTATTAAACAATGCTTTTGTTTAGTAAAAGGAATTTAAAGTAATTTACAAAGGCACAAAATAATTACACGTAGCAATAATATGAAAACAGACATCGAAAAAACAAGCTGCTATTCAGGCTGCCCATAGTTTTTTGTTCCTATACATCATTTACCACATGGAGGTGCGCTACTCCAGATAATGGTTTATTTGCTTTTGTTTTAACCAATGGCTAGTATGCACTGCAAGGTGAATCTTATGCATGAGGCAATGGCCACACACGTCTGGCTTTGCAAAAGCAAGTGACAATGTGTTTTCCAAAAAACAAAATGCTCACACGGCTGTGTGCAAGCTAGTGCTTGCCTATTTGTTGTAAGACAGCATTAACTGGATAGCAAATGGTTGCTTAGTTCTCCTTTGTATAAACACTGAAAATATGGTAGAACTCAGGAAATGCATTTTGATGTTGTGGTGTCTCTTTCATTCTCAATTTTTGTGTGTCACTTAATGTTTAATATATCTGCACTCTGAATTGCCATGGGGTATAATATTTGTCCTTGCAAGAGATACTGTTTCCACAGAAGGAGGGTTGCCACTAGAGCTGTCCAGCCAAGTTCCAGTCATTTTTAAGAATGTTCTATTACATAGCCCCCAAACTGTGAGAGACACTGCACTGATTTATCCTAGGTTGCATCCAGTCTTCCATTCCAGTAGCACAAAGCTCCTAACAATTGAGGAAACCCACATTTTCATCCTTGTGCAAATGTCAAATCCAGTAGTTTAAATCTGCTCACACTCATTGCAACTTCATTAGGTTAGTTTTGCTATATTGTTCTGCTAGCAACTTGCTTGTTCGGTTTATAGCTGCCTTGTTCCATAGTTAGTGGAACAAGGAATGTCTCCTCTTTTATTTCTTCCACTAATGTTAAATACAAAGACCTATTGTTGATTTTTGCCAAGAGCACCTAGAGATACAGAATGCCATTTGCCTCTGGCATCCATCTTCTCTGGATTTTCAATTGTTAATATGGACTTAGTAACATTTCCTCATTACATGATGCCAGCAGTGTGGGCAGCATCTCAAATGGTTATACGTACATTGTTGAAACCGAGACACACCATAAGTGTTTGCCACAAAGAAACTACCTGATGTATCACTTCTCTACCAGAGGCTTTTAACCCACCACTTTACCAAGGCTTCTGCTTCCATATTCTTTGCAGCATTAAGAGTGGGTCCTTTATATATTTTTACTGCATTTTTTTTTCTTTCCCTGCCTTTCTATATATTCCATTGGACAACCACAAGGTGGCACTGTGGTATAACTGTGATGTAGTGGAATTGTCACAACATTTTACTGTGAGAGTAGGAAATAATATCTGACTTTCCTCTCTCTTAAAAAAACCCCCATCATAATGGTTGCAAAACACAAGAGACACTCTGTGAGATGATATTATGTAAAGCTCCCGCAAACTAGCATACATGAGGAATCACAAGTGCAGAGTGCCTCATGTAGAAAACTCATACGACACTTGTAGGTGTTTTAACTGACAAGGATACATTTTTCACAAGAGAGTGGGAGCAGGATCCTTGCTACATTAAGAAAAACAACAGAAATAAAAGGTAGTCTTGTCTCGGTTTATGATATAGTACAATGACATTTCAGAAAATTTTGGAGGTGAAAAGATTGTGATTTGACAAGCCTTTGTTTTAAAGTTTAACTTTGCAAAACAACTATAAGTTCAGTTGCAATTGTTTACCTCTATGAATCACTTAGGCTGAATGACTAAAAAGCCCTTCCTAGGGAGTAAACCCCATTAATCACAGTGATAGCTACCTCTGAGTAAACATTCATGTGTCACATCTGCTACCTAGTCGTGAGGGATATGTTTAACCCAAGTTAGTTTCCACACACTAATTTTATTCTGCTTAGAAATTGCAACAAAAATGTCATTATATTGCTCATATATTAACATTTAAATCGACTGCGGTCTCATGGATATATGTGCCTCATAAAAACTAGTCAAATCCAGTGCTTGTCCATGGCAGGGGGATACCAGGGCTTTTTAATGAGTCAGGGCTAATAGTCTATATAATTAGTGGAAATGTACATTTAAATGTTAATGCATAGTTTCACAGGCAAAATATTTAAAAGTGAATTAGCATCACACATTAGAAAGAAACTCATTGATCATTTACACTGGTATCATCACATTGTCCATAATCCACTATCATTAGCAGGCCTATGCCAACAGAAGTTGTCACTGGCTCCACTACAATTACTCTGCACAGAATTCATATGTACAAAGAATGTTATTCCTTGTATGTGGGGACAGTTACTATTTTTTAGGTTCCATTATAATTATACAAGATACAGCATACATGTTTGTTTTCCAACACTAAGACCAGGATCCCAGGTAAAGTAAGTGCAGTGTTCTAGTAAGTTCATAGATGGACACAGGTGTTTGCTAATAGGCAAAAAGAAGAGCATTAAAATCATTCCAAATTTCTTGGAATGTATTGTATTCATGCAGAAGAAGTTTAGGGAAGGTCATCATATTTAATAGAAATATTATTCTAGCATCCTGAATAGGAGTTGCATATGCTCTGAGAATGTGGGCTCAGCCCACCTTCTCCATTCTCTTTCATGGAGGGAGGAGTGCCATGAATTCATTCTTTTATATATGCAGTCCTGTAAATCATCTTGTTAAAGGGAAAGGGCTTTGCAGCCAGACACTGCTGTCTTAAGTATTAGTGCCCCTGTGCCTGCAACAGATTGAAAATTCAGGGCACAAGCCCCCAAACTGTATGATAAAAGTGAAACAAGATGGAAAGGGAATATAATATTTTGTTTAAGAATACAAAATAACATTTGTAATTATTAAAAAAAAACACAATAAATACCCAATTTGGGACCATTTTGGTAAAAGGGAATTTAGTGGTTGCTTTTTTTCACTTTCAAAGCAGCTTTAAAATAGCTGAGATACAAAACTAATTCAAACTGAAGCGCACTTTGATTATACCAACATTTTATAAGCAGAGAGAAGGAAAACAATAATCAATAGGCAGCAATTAAGTGTCAGCCAGAGATCTTATGCTTCCCGGACTTCAAACTCTTCCTTCATGTTCCACAGATGCTATTGACACATCTTATACTTTCGGGAAGGGGGAATCCTCCTCTATGTACACAGGGTGCGTGTCCACCTACACATACATGTGTGTTTACGCACATATGTATAAACACACTCCCTGTCCTACTCGGTTGAGATGGCAACTTCATGAATCTGATAAAATAGGCTATGGCCTACAAAAGCTTATGTCATGATGAATGTCTTAATAGTTAAGGAGTCACACGACTTGTTGTTATAAAGATTAATTTGTCAAATACACAAGTTGGTTGATGTAAATTCCTCTGACTAAATTAACTTTAATTATTGCTGGATCAATTTCCCTGTTAAGCAGGCACTAAAGACAATGTACAAATATAGAATTGTAAAAGTGCTGTTATAGAAGAGAAAAACATCAGGACAATATTTGAGTGCAGAACATAGAAAACTCACTTTACTGGATTGATATAATTGAATAGAAATGCTGGATACAATCTAGGAAAAATACAAATAAGATACTTTGCTAAAATGTATCAAAAATACATGTATGCCTGTTTTAGAGGAAGGGAACTTCTTGCAATCGGAGGGCTGACTTCAATTTTGGAGAAGCTCTCAGGGCCATATTCCAGTATTGGTAAGATTAAAGACAAAGGAGGTGGAGCTAACACAGATGCATAGACTGGGTTCAGATAATGCAATAACTTACACTCAAGGGTTGAGTATGGGTTGTTGTTAAAATACGTGTTGTTTAAACAAAGCTGATACAAATCATGTATAGCACAGTTTACAAGCAAATAACAAATCATGAATTCTTTTAATGGGTTGTTACCACAGTTGTAGTTAGATAGCACAGTAACCCATGGTTCAACAGGCCACACTTAACCCACAGACATTCATTGAGAGTGTGTTATCATGCTGTCTGAACCCAGTTGTATTGCAGCTTCTTATTGCCAGCAGGTAAGCCTTAGAAAAGGAATTTCAGCCCTTCAGAACAAAACTGGGAAAGCAGCAAATGACTGGTAGTTGGGTTTCTTGCCCTGGCCCCATTCCCTCTTCCCCAGCCACCTGGAGTTGGCCTTTGGGCTTGAGGTCCCCTACCACAGCCAATATGCATATGTGTTAATCTTTAAAATCATTTTCTCATTTGGCCAAATCAACCATAATTTCTTTTGAAATATGGCTTTGCAGCAAAACAAACACTTTCTCCAATTCCACTTCATTTCTTATTATTATTCTTCCATTTAAAAACAAAACAGGTTGCTTACAGTGCAAACCCATGCATGTCTACTCAGAAGAACACTACCTACCATTGTTTACCCTGCAGCTGTTGAGGTGTGTTTTGATCTGTTAATCACAGACTGTCAGATGATGTCATCTTGATTTTTAGAATCACAGGACATAGCAATCCTTCTGCAGACTGTGTGCTCTCTTAGATATAAGGATGGCAGCCTGCAGGCTCAGACAGGCCACAGATGGCTCTACAAAATTTTAATCAGGACTGGTAAAAAGTTTGCCCACAGTTTCACTTGTGAAAAAAACAAAAAAACATTTGTGGGATATAAGTAACAGGCATGTTTACCCTTCAGCACTGCACCCTTTCTGGTTTTCTATGTAACATGTATGCAACATGTAAATATATGTATTTGCATAGAATGCCCAAGTTCCATAACTGGGAAGAAGAGGGATGTTAAGTGTGCATACAAACTGGCATTCTGACTATGGTCTGGCCAACTGAAAAGAGAAAATATAAAGCACAACGTAAGTGTGCTTATAAGAATTTATGCAGAGAATACATCAGTGAAGCTGTACTTGGTGTCGTGTAGGAAACCATTTCTTCAGAAAAGAGCAGCAGATGTTTATGCATGTACTTGGAGTGGAGTAGAAAATGCTTTTCTGAGTTAGAGGTACTAAATTTTATTGTACTTGGTTAAATCTAGCCATTAAGTCCAGAGTTAGCTTTTTAAGTGGAGGACGTGTGTGTGTGTGTGTGTGTTCATATGTGAGAGAATTTGTTTTAACTCACCAATTAATAGTTTTCTTCTTTATAGAAACAGAAGTGACATTTGGAGACTATTAAAGTATAATGCATCAGAGGAGACAAACATTGCATAATATAGATACACACCTGTTTCTGTACTCTGAAAAAATATTGTTCACATTTGTTTGAAGCAATGCTGCGGTTGTGTTTTTGTAGCACAGTGTCTAGAATAATTGAATTGTCTCTAGGAAAGTCTAGTTTCCAGGTGAGTGGTACAGTCATTATGACAACTGAGCACTACTCCTTATCCAGTGGAGTCCTTGTTGTGTGTATTGAACCAGGTGCTCCATACTGCTGTGCAAGGTGATGGGTCCCATCAGTGCATCCAAATCATTAAAGTACTCTAAGGAATAAAACATAAAAACAAACTACATTTCATAGCTCTTGTTGCATCAGAGGCACTTTAGTGATTCAGTAATTCATGTACATAATACATTGTGAAAGTTGACAAAGTTCAAATTGCTAGTCAAAAGGTTTAATTAAGCTTCTAATGCCCACATGGAACATTTTTATTTAAAAATAAAGAAGCAAATTCCTTAGTCCTTTCTTTTATTTTATATTTATTGACTTGCGTAGGCAAAAGGATGAATGGTTACTAGGTTCCTGATGAAAAAAATAAAGGCCCTAATCCCACTTAAATTAGTTGTGTTGATGAATATGCCTCATTTAATGCAGTGGGAATGGATTTAATCATGATTTAATTATTATACTGCATTCAGTGGGACATGTTCTTCATGAGTAACTTTAGTTATTTAAGATAGTTATATTTTGCCCAGAGCCCTTCCATCATGTTAGATTTTAGGGTGGTTTGCAAGGCCTAGGTAAACAGATCAATGCAATACAAAAAATGACCAAACATAAAAGTGTACAAAACACTTCCCACTTAGATTCATGCACATGTAAAGTGGAATATAGCTGCTGAAAAAGTATGGCTACTCCCATATGGACACCATCCAACCTCAACAGACATCACAGGATTGATGTGCAGCAAATATGCAGGCAGGCATCAAATGCAGGTTGTTATTTTGATAAGATGAACAGCACATAGGCTCAAACGTGGCTGAAAATTACATACTGACCTAATCACAGGTGGCTGATAAGCCACTGCGGCTGGTTAAAGACCCTGCAGGTGCTGGCTGCCCAAAGAAGGAATTAATTGCCCCGGCAGCACAGCTTGTCACGTCACGCTGACCTGGCCAGCTTGGCTTGTTGCTATCCATAACAAGCCACACGGAACCCTGCCACAGCCCACTGTGCCCTATTTCCCTAGCTACAATTATGCTAACCTGGCCAGTGTTAAAATACATGCTCGCTCTCGCTCGTTCTCTTTCTCATTTCTGAGGCAAAGCTTCCTCAAGGCAGATAAAATGTGAACACTACTAAAAATAGACTAAGTTTAAAGCAGTAGCATTTTAAAAATTTCTTAAAATAACAGCAAGACTAAAACACCAGTTCACAAAACATACTAAAAGCCACTCAAGAACAGTCAGGGAAGGAGCAGAAACATTTCCTTGGGATATTCCATAAGGATAGGGCCATCACAGAAAAGGCTTCCTCACTTGTGCCAGCAAGTCTAACAGATTTCACCACCAATAGGTGAGTAATTCTTTCAAGGCTAATCTTAGGGGCTGAGCAGTTTCATACAGGTGCTGATGTTCTTTAGGGCTTTAAAGGCAATTGCTAAAGTTTTGAAGCTCAAAGGTGTACTGGCAACCAGTCCAGCTGGTAGTGAATTAGTGTCATGCACTCTGACCTGCTAGACATCTCAAGCAACTGGGATACTTCATTCTCCACCAACTGAAGCAACCCCATGAAGAGTGTGTTACAGCTGTCTGGTCTGGAAGGGATCCGTTTTCCATCAAGAGCTGTTCTGCCTTAGCGATCTCTCAGAGGCTGCATGCTAGTGCTGGGCAAGGCAGTATCTTCTCTCTCTTTTAAAATATATCAACCCCACTCTTAAGCATCTTGAGACAGAAGTGTGCAGTGGTGATGTTCTCAAGTTAAGATCACCATCATTCCACATTCTCTCTCAAACACACAGAATCCCTCCTGTACCCCATCTCTGCCCATGTGACTCTGGCTTGCGGCATTCTGGCTGCTACCATTGCTGCAAGGACAACAAGACAGAGACCAGGAGTTTTTCCTACATGAGGCTGTCAATAATTTTATTTACTTTCAGTTTCAATGGGATCCAAGCACAAAGGGTATTTCCTTTCCTGAGTTTCCACTATATAAACTGTAGGTAGCACTGCAGTGGAGCAGAGAGTGTAAAGGAAAGTGTTCTCTTTCACAATCAAATGCCACATTTTCTCCACTTTCAAAAAACTCACCAAAAATGTTTGTTATGACGCAGAAGCAAAACTGGTGCCACAACATGAATCCCTAAAAACTGTGACTGACTAATGATGCGGACACAACCAACGCCCTACACAGAAAACCCCCAGAAGGTGGATGGTTGCCTGTGCAACCTCAAAGGAGCACCGCAGCTAGTTGGTCTTTCCTGAAGGAAGCCACACCGCTCTAGCTGCCACATGCTGTGCTTGAGCTGCTGACCTTGCACGTGTGCCTGCCTGCCACAGCCTTGCCTTCACATGGCAGTAGCAGAGGCTGCTATAAGAAGGCATGGGAGATGCCAGCTGTGTGTCCAGGGGACTGCATAAAGCAGGGGCAAAGGCCATGCACATCCTATTACCCATTTCTGCTCTGATCCCAGGTGCATTCATGCCTGAATGAAACATACTGCAGATGCTCAAGGTGCTTTCTGCCTTCTTCTATGAGGTCAGGGCTTAGTTAGAAAGGTGTGGGGGAAAAGCAATACCTTGCAAATCCGGTTGGTTTGTGGATCTAGATTCAAGACCCCCCAAAGTGAGCAATACATGTTGATCAAAATGGCACGTTACAGTTTCAATGAACTATTTTTCAGCACACACCTTGGCTTTCCTTGGCAAGACTGTCAGCCATCTCCCAGTAGTCATAACTGTGTAAGATACTGTTGGTGATACTAACATGGTTGGCTGCCATCTGATGAATTCGCTGTGGAATACTGATTATGGAGGTGGGAGAAGGGGCTCCAGTGCTTCCCTGGGACCCGACCGAACTCACAGGTGATGGGTTTGGGGATATAGGAGAAGGTGTTCCTGTATACCTGAAATTCAGAATTTATTGAAGAATGTTAAAGGCACGGTACCGGCAAACTTGAGTTATCGGCACAATAATAGTGAACCACAATACTTTAAAGTTCATCCACTTTAGCGTCCTGTACAATCCCACCTTGTGAACTGGTTTATGAGGTTTTATAAGGTATAGCCTTGTACTGGAAGAAGATGCCATCTAGGACTGTCAAGGCTAGAAAGGAGAAGTCAATGTCTGGCTTCAAAAATTCAAAGAACGGGCCGACTTCTTTGTTAGAGGCTAATGCAGCTGGTGACTTAGTTAAAACCAATGCTCATTTACCATTCTGAAAATCCTAGGGCCCTTAAGAATTATAGTAAATCTAGTCTGCCTGTGATCTGTAAATGGAGCAACAGAGCCTGGATGACAGCACATATGTTTACAACATGGTTTACTGAATATTGTAAGCCCATTGTTGAGACTTACTTCTTAGAAAAAAGATTCCTTTCAAAACATTACTGCTCATTGATAATGCACCCGGTCACCCAAGAGCTCAGACGGAGATGTACAATGAGATTGATATTGTTTTCATGCCTGCTGAGATATGTGGAACATCCGCTCTATAGCCCATGGATCAAGGAGTAAATTTGACTTTCAAGTCTTATTATTTAAGAAATACATTTCATAAGCTGCCATAGATAGATTTGAGCAAAATAAATGGAAAAGCTTCTGGAAAGGATCCACTGTTCTAGATGCCATTAAGAACATCCATGATTTATGGGAAAAGCCCAAAATATCGACATTAACAGGAATTTGGAAGTTTATTTCAACTCTTATGGATGACTTTGAGGGGTTCAAGCCTGCAGTGGTAGAAGTAACTGCTTATGTGGTAGAAATGGCAAGAGAACTAGAATTAGAAGTAGAGCCTGATCATGTGAGTGAATTGCTGCAATCTCATGATAACACTTCCACAAATGAGGAGTTGCTTCTCATGGATGAGCACAGTAAGTGATTTCTTGAGACAGACTCTTCTGGAGAAAGTGCTGCGAAGCTTGTTGAGATGACAACAAAGGATTTAGAATATTACATAAACTTAGTTGATAAAGTAGCAGCTGGGTTTGAGAGGACTCCAGTTTTGAAAGAAGTCCTACTGTGGGTAAAATGCTATCGAACAGCATTGCATGCTACAGAGAAATCTTTAGTAAAGGGAAGAGTCAAGTGATGTAGCAAACTTCATTGTTGTCTTATTTTAACAAATTGCTGCAGCTACCCCAACTTTCAGCAACCACCACCTGAACAGTCAGATGCCATCAACACTACTGACCCTCCACCAGCAAAAAGATTACAACTTGATGAAGGCTCAGATGATGGTTAGCATTTTTTAGAAATAAAGTATTTTCAATTAAGATACATGATGTGCATTGTTTTTTTAAACATAATGCTATTGCAAGATTAATAGATTACAGTATACTGTAAAAGTAACTTTTATATGCACTGGAAAACAAAACAAAAAAAATAACGTGAATCACTTTATTGTAATATTTGCTTTATTGTGGTGGTTTAGAACTGAACCTGTAATATCTCAGAAGTATGCTCACAATAAGATGTGTATAGATACTCTATATAAGTTGATATGTCTCCGAGCATAGTTATTTCTTCCATTCCCCAATGAAATGTATCTTTTACTAGATAGACATTTAGGGATGTTCCATGCCTAGTTTCCTAACATAAGAGCAGATGTCATAATATCAAAGAATGTGACTGTGCATTCCATGGCTTGGGTTTTGTTCTATGCAGCCCTGCTTTTCTGATCTTGTTCTGCTTAGATGCTGTAGCAGCCAACTAAGGTAACTGACTTACCCACACATGAAAACAACACTGTGGGCACTCTAACAAGGTGTGATAGAACAGCAGGTGGGTTCTCCCACCTATGATTCTTTCTTTTAATTAAATTTGAGGCTTGATTCAATAGAACACACCACCAAAGTTTTTGTTAGAGTTCTCAATTAGAATTTATCCTGTCCTTTTAACTGTTCCCACTAGAATAAATCTCTTCTACCTCAGATTAACTCAACAGCTGAATAGCCTAAAAGAAACTCAGTAGCCTGGCATAGGCATGGGATTGACACTACCTTTCAAAATCAACAAAAATGTAATTAACAAAAATATTTACAGACATGAATACTGTGTCATTCTATAAGTTAACATTGCTTACAGGTTCTTAGATTAAACATTTCTGCTTACCACTTCTAAGCTGGGTCCTCCCAACTAAATAAAATCTCAACAGCTTTTCTTTTAGATTAGATTTCTATAAGGTTTATCCCACAAACAGTAATAGGTTTAGGAAGTTCCCTAAACTTCCTTACAAAGAAAAACAGATGCTTCACACCACTCTTTCTCTGTCTCCAGCTCTTGCTTCTTCTAACTTCTAGGATGATACAGCTGTTTTGGGGAATACTTGCTGAAGTTCCCTCTGGTCAGACATAACATGGGCACCTAAAATATGTTATGCATAACTTGGTTTGCTCCTAATATTGTCATGTTAGTCACATGAAATTTAAAATTGCCACTCATTCAGATAATAATTACAAGTTTACTAAAGGGTACCATCCAATGTGGCTGCCTATAAGTCTCCACTTCTTCCCCAGCCCCATCACCTTTCCCTCAGTCACCTACCATGTCATGCCCTACTGTCTTTACTGCAGCTTTTTCCTCATTCTAAAAGGTTGAAATGCCCCCCCAAGGCCTGGGATGCAGGTAGCAAGGGCTCTAAGATAAAATACGATGGGGGTTTTTTGGTCTTATCTCTTTTGCCTTGCCCCCTTTGTCTTCAGGCCTGCCCACAATTGCATAATTGCCTCTAAGAGCAACCCCAAAATGGATTTATGTCCTTGGTTGAGGACTTAAACAAGGTTCTGCATCCCTGTCTCAGTCTATTATGATGGACCACTGGACTTACTTGCCACTAGCACCCCAGGGTGATGGTGCCTGAGCAATTTTAGATGAATTCTGGAGAGAAAGGAAGAGAGAGAGAAAAGTTACAAATGATTGAAAGAAGTGTCTGCAATGAGCACCAATAGAAAACTGTGCAAGCAACCAGGGAGAAAGCTTTAGTATCCATATACAGAGTGCTTATATATTATGGATCAAATTATTCTTCATTACATTTCCTTTTGCATAAAGGATCTATACTTCAAACAATTCCCAATAAAAAAGACACACAAAAGAAACAGTAAATATGTCTTGGAATAAGTATTTCACCCTTTGTTGGCAAGCACATACACAGAAGAAACGTCCACTCTTCTTGTTTCAAGAGGACCAACCAGTTTAAGATGATTGACACCAATTGGCTGCTAATACGCAGCTCCTGTATTGTTAATGCTTACATCGTGGTTCTTCATACCCCATATTAAATTTTAGGTGAGCTGGAAGGAATCCATAATGATGGTAAGAAAGACTGGGTTGCTGGAATAAGCCATATGACAAAGATGGCAGGCCCCATTTCCTCTTTTAAACTTTTTGAGTTTTCATTTTTAAATCTGAAGACTAAAAGGAGCCTTCAGAAAGAGCCAGTGGGAAGTCCTTAAGTATAGTTGTGCATTTGGATCAGTATATATGTGACATTAGTTTCTGTGTATAAAAGGCAAAGGTGATAGAATTTCTTTGGATTTAAAGACTTAAAGGGTGTGAAGAGATACAATATACCAAAATGTACATAAAATATACACAAATTGGGGCATAATCCACCAGGGAGGTCACCTGAATATGTTTCACTGAAATGAATGCTTTGCTTTTGTGAGCTTCTATTTCTTTCATTAGGGCTTTTGTAGGTGAACTTGCCCCCTGGATCGTGCCCTTGATTTATATTTTTGATATCCCACCAATTTCTTCCTGTTTTCTGCATACCCTAGCCACTAAAAGCAAATACAATACAATACAATGACAAAAACAAAATGAAAGCAACACACAAAAGTAAAAAATAAACAAAACTGTAAGCTTTTCTGCCTAGTAGAACAGAAATGCTTTCTCTGGGTGGCAAAAGAATCAAGAAAAGAGGCTTCCTATACTTCATAGAGCAAAGTCTTCTACAGCATTGGTGCAGCTACTGTGGAGACCCTATTTTTCATTACTAGGCCTCCACCCTAGATGGGACAAATCTGATCTTAGGATGTACATGTATTGGTATGGGAGGAGGCGATCCATCAGTTTTATAATTCTGGATTAAACCTTTGAACAGCTACTTTTTACAGCTAGCTGCATGTAACTTCTTTTCTACCACAGTCAATTAATGTTTGTCACAGTTGAGCTAAGGAAAACTTAAGACTTAATTTCTTTCAGATATCCAAGATTCTTTTAATAGGAAGCCAATGATCTGGTTCAGAGGCAAAGGAAGCTGCATTAGTTCACAGTAAAAACATCAATTTCAATGGAAAGAAGTTTAAGTGGACTAAACTAGACTAGGAACAGTTTGACTACCTACTAAAACATGGTGAGTTTGTACAGTAAAACATGTATTAATTTTATGTTGATAATAAATAGGTCAAATAAAGGAAAGTTAAAATATTATAAGGCTCTTTACCTAATCTTGAATCTAAAATGGGTACAAAGCTGTTATTGCTGAGAATGATTTTTCTTCCTTATTAAGTAGCTATCATCACGCATCTGAATGGCTTGTTCAACATTTCTTTCCCAAACTATGCATATTTACTCTTGCAAAAAGCAAACAATATATTGTTTATCAAAACTCTTCAGTGATGCTGACAGTGGAAACAGGACTGAGAATAGGTATTGGCTACCAGCTCTAAAAACATTAATTGCACTGGATGTTAACAATTACTGGAATGTGTATGAGTGCTGCCATGTGAAATATACCCTGTAACATGAAACTGGGGGAAAACACGTATGTTTATTGCTTGAGTATTTCCATTACACTTGGTTTGCATGTAATGCGAAGCCACCACAGATGAGTTTTTCCTCAGGGCTTCTTGCAAAATGGCTACCTCTTTGAATATTTAAGGTGTGAAGGTGCACCATAGCTTATTTTTATGTGTAAACCTGGTAAGGGAGAGTAGTTGATGTAGATGACACGTAATGAAAAACTACTGTGGTTGAATTTCCTCATGGGATTTCTTGTCACAGGGGCATCTGCCATTTTGAATAATTGGGGCATGGAAAGGAGTGTGCAGTAAATTCCCATCACAGGTGAATCCAGTGAAGGTGTGCATCTGGAATAATTGACAAACTAACTGAAATCTTGAAAGAACCAGTGGGTTTTGGGTGGCTTGTCAATCACCCCAGCAACCCTCCCTTATGGTTCACACATAACAAGAAGTCATGGCAACAAGGGCTTGGAATGGTAACTTGGTTGCCATAGATGCTGCAACCCACTAGGGCTAGTAGGACACAGCAAGCCATCCTGGTCTCTGTTTCATTGGCTGTCCCTACTAAAACACTATTGTCACATTGCATCTTTTTTCCAGGTACACTTTACTGGGAAGATATGCAATTCCTATTGACCTACATGTAGTTTGGACCAAACTCACAAATCAGAAAATTGTCCAGTATATATGGTATAGTGAGAAGCAATAATTCCAAAATGTATCAATGTGTTGCTGAGACCAGAAAGTACCTTGAAATACTCAATAAGTGCTTTTGAATATTTTACAGCATGGTCTCTTTTGAGTCGAAACATTCTCCAGTATAGAAGTGCCAAACAACGGTAACTGTAAAGAAAGGAGAGGGAGAAAAGTACTTCATTTTTAATAATCTAAATGAAAAAATAACAAACCAGAAAACTTTCTAGAGCTCTGTATAGTCTACTTATGGTTATGTTTAAAGACTGGAAACAGACAATAGTCTTGAGCCAAGATGAGGATAATACAATATAGTCCATGTTGCTCATGTTTATAGGTCTTCATTTCTTTTGTCCTGCTGTTGTCCACTGATTATTCTGCATAGCTGAATTTAATTACAATGAATTATTTTTGTTACTGTACACCAATGGGATATATTATACATGACAGGCAGTATGAAAGGTTCAAGAGTAAGTAAATTAGTATTACCTAAAGGAAATAATATGTTGCAAGCTCTTGAAGTACAAAAAATAAAAAAAGAAAAAATAAAAATCTGCAGAACAGGCTGAACAGAAAAATGAGCATGTGTCTTATAAACAGTGGTTGCGTCATCATAATATCTTTAGCTCTTTGAAAAAAGCATGCATGATCTGTATATTTCACATGTTTATTAAGTTACATCCTTCTCCTATGACTGGAACCTCACACAATGCTAGTTGTTCTACCTAGAGTTTATCTGGAAGATAATCAAACAAACTATTGTTTGTTCAATACATTGGTTCCTTGTTTGCCCAGCCCCTCCTTGTGTCCCATGTATACTAATGACACACTAATATCTTTTATCTCTCCTACCTGCTGCCTATATAGCCTGGTGGAACAATCTATGGTCATGGGTTTGCACCTAACAGCAATGCAATCAGCATTCGCAACCCAAGAACAAAACATGGGGTCTCTTTCTAGGTTGTCTGTAGTGATCAAAGATTGATTTGTAGTGAGCCTGAGTTAGCACAACATGACAAGCCAGAATTCAACAATCCATAAGATGAATTAACCACTCTAAAATTGCTAAAGGGCAGTGCTAAAGCATGATTTATTGGGCCCAATGGAACCTTTAATTTGCTCCAAACACACTATGAAAGGCTTTGTCTGCTCTGAAAAAATGAAGGATCCATTGGTTGGATTAACTAATAGAAGGAACATCTGGAGAATCAACTGACTGGAGGATGAACTGGCTGCACAAATGACATATAAAGACCCACTGAATATAGTGGACCCCTCCTCAAAAAAGGGATCTTTCCAGAGCTATGAGCAGGGTGGGTGGGGGGAATCCAAGCAGGGATCACTCTGCTGCTGTAGAAAGCTCCATAGTGGCTCTGAGGTCATTACACTGGAAGTGGACCACAAACCTATTGGCCCTTGTCCCCTGCAAAGAGCTAGACATACTGTGAGGAGGAAATGGAACTGTAAATGTCTCTGCTGCCTTCTGCCCTGCCTGGAAGGGCTTAGGGAAGCTGGAGGACTCCAAAAGCGTAACTCACATGGGATTGCACTCTTGGTTGCCTTATGCCTTTGCCTGCTCAATATGCATTTATATCTGGATATGACAAGTGCCTTTTACGTGCCATTCTTATCTTGGGGTCCAGCATTGTTATGCATTTGGAAACCGAAGGTCTAACTCAGGGATCCTCAAACTTTTTGAATAGGGGGCTAGTTGAAAGGCTGCGGTGACTGTTGTGGGCCAGTGCGGTGGGGGTGCCTGGGGGTGTGGGCCGGTGAGGTGCCATCGGGCGTGCGCGAGGAGATCTCCCAGTGAGTCCAAAACCATCTCCGAGTGAGCAAGCCACCACCTCCCTGCCTGTGCTGTGAGGCGGCGGCGAGCGTGTACATACGGGAGGCAGGCAGCGGTGGCTTGCTCACTTGGAGACCATCTCCGAGTGAGTGAGCCACCACCTCCCCGTCCGTGCAGCAAGCACGCGTGCAGGTGGCGAATGGTGGCGTGGGCCGGATGGATGGCCATGGTGGGTCAGATCCATCCCATCCTGCAGGCCGTAGTTTGAGGACCCATGGTCTAACTGATTCACCCTCAAACATTCTGGGACATATCTGCAGCTCTGACTCCCAGTATTCCTGACATTTTCCTGCTCCAGATGAACACGGTGCTTCTCTAGAACACCCTCTACCGGGGTCCATTCCCTACTTCTGTCTGTGTATTTTAGTGCAAGGGCTTGGACCAGCAGCTCGTTGTTCCCATTGAATTATGATTTGCTTTAGCAAATCTTAAAAGACCTAGGTACTCTACATAATATATGGAAGTAGGCTTCTAAAAATATCCTAAAGCATGACCTTTGTTTGAGGCTCAAATTTCTTCTCATAGTATTAGTCTTGAAGCCCAGATTACTCTCCCTAAACTTCATGATCCGGGCTATGTCCTTTTTGTATATTTTGGGCTTAGGCCCATCTACTGGATGTCATTTACTTAATAATAATATGTCAGAGCTACTTAACAGACATGAACTGGATGCAAAGGCAATGGTCACCAACCCCAAGGGTTTATGTTCAAAATTTGCAGAAGCAGAGGGGAAAGATACACAATGTTACACACTGGAACTGCCATATTGGCACTTCAGTGCTAATTTCAGAGCCAGCTTCTGATAGCCTGGGTTTCAGATATGTCTTAAGGGGATATAATTAAATGGTATCGCCCTTAGGAAACAATTACAACTACTACTATTTAATTATTTCTATACTCCCCAATAGTTGAAGCACTCTGGGAAGTGAACAACAGAAATAATAATATATTATTACAATACTGTACTCATTATTTGAGCAGGTTGAATTTTGTATTTTATATTACTTCTTAAGAACAGCATAGGTGATTTTAATTTTCTCCACTAGAGGGCAATCTCTACTTAGGAGAAGAAAAAGATGTTCTGATATGAATACAACAGATCCATGGCACTATGCCCAGTTTGCTTTGTATGGAGCCAGACAACACAATAGACTTACAGTCCTCAAGTCATAACTCTCACCCTGTAACCTTCCCAGGTACAGTGAATATGCAAATGAAAGCAACTCATCTGCTATGTGGCAAGCAGTGAGTTAGGGCTGCTATTCAATGCTGTTAACAGAGAATCTCTCTCACTCTCACTCTCTCTCTCCCCCCCTCCTCCACTTTCCCTCTGGTTGACCTTTCTTTTTAAAGAGATGCAATACCTTTTTTGCACTTGGATTAAATTTCACATACTGATGCTAGCTTTGTAGGACTGTTTGCAACCTTCTAGTATCCCTACCTCACAAAATGGACAAAGGCTGTAATCACACCTGAAAGTAATCCCCACCAAATCTAATAGGGCTTACTTCAGAGTAGACATATATAGGATTGTGCAGAAGGTCAATTTAAAAAGATCTTTTAGAACCAGTTTCAGTACTGTAAGAAATTCTTGAAATATTTCCTCTAACAAAATGATAGCAAAGGAAAATTGAATTATTTTTCAAATTACTTATCTGAAAGGTTACTTTTAAATTATAAATGTTAAAGATCACTTTCATTAACTATGAACAAATTTGTTTTTAAATATATATTTATTTATACTAAAAACCAGATGCTGAGGACTCCTCTGTACTTTAATGACAGTGGTTCCAATCCAATTTTACTTGACAGCAATCAGTCCTCTGTTACAACACTGAATGAGTCATATCCATTCATGTCAAAAGTAAAGTGATGTCCAGTTCAGTACTGCTTAGACATGTATCAAAATGCAAATGCAATTTTTAATATTTTTTTTGGTAGTGCCAGAAGGTAGCTATTAAGGATTTGGGCTGGCTCACATGTCATGCAAACCCACCCTGGCAACAGGCCACCATGAGTTGCTTGTTTTGAGGACATCCATGGGGTGCCCAGCAGAAAATGGGGCTCACCATGGGTTGTTTCTCTGCTCCCTCCTCTTCACTGCTTTGCCACTGGGATCATAAGCCACCACAATCTTTTTCCTTTAAACCCTTTCCTTCCCTTTTTCTGGTGATTGCCTTTTGAAATCTGACTTGACAGCATAAAGAAGGAGGCATGCTACCTGTTCCTTTAAAATATGTTTTTGTGCCCCAAATGAACTCAATACTTTTCAAAGATTTCTCTCTCTCTCTCTCTCTCTCAAATATTTATATCCTGCCTATTTTACTACCAGCTTCCCTAGACGGCTTTTACAGTTGGACTTGCACAAGTGCAGAACTATCTATAGCAAAGGTCTCCGATGGTAGGATAGGGTTGATAGAAACATTCCTGGCAGTGGAAAGGAGTGAGCAGTTTCCAACTGAAGCTTATCAAGGAAGAAGGAGGGACAGTCCCTGCCAAGGGCATCTGGTTCATGCTATTGCCCTGACCTTTTCAGTATAAACTGCTGGCAAATGGGATTGCAGGAGATGGCATAAGGAACAAAGGGGAATCCTAGGACTGGCTGCTCAGTCTCGCCCTATTCCCAGGGCAGATGGACTGAAACACCAGATTCTTTGATGGAGGTTTTGTCTCCCTCTGGCCTCAGTTCTGCCTGGAAGTGTTTTTTCCTGACTGACAACTGAGACCATTGCTCTAAGGAGACCTGTTGTGTACATAATGTTACAGCAGGTTAGGTTTCCTGTTTTACTGGAGAGGGTGCACCAGGGAGTCCATCTGCCGAAGGACTGGGGCATGGTATGGATGGTTATATTCTGTTTCCACATTTTGTTCCTTGTTCCCCTCTTGCTTTCTTTATCTTAGTCCCCTCCTCTTTCTTAAACAAACTTATATTCCATACATGTTTGGATGGAGTTTGAATGAGTTGTGGTGCTAAATCCAGTGTCTTGGACTGAAGGGCAGAGTCTCTGAAGTGATAGAGAATGGCCCAAGAAAAGGAGACTGAGGAAGGCATTCTTCAGCCATTTGTTACAATGTCCAGAAAGAAAGCTTTACTTGGGCAATATCCCAGGTAGTACCTGCTCTCAAAGTACAGCCGATATGCATTTTGAACCCAGAAAGTGTCCAAATCATCCCCCCCCACTTGCTTTCCCTTAAGGGAAAGCAAAAGCACAAGTGATCTCTGCTTGCAAAAAATGGGAAACTGGATTCATTCCGCTTTTGCAGTGACATCCTCTTGTCATTTTTGCCCTTACACTCAGGATGAGGTACATTCTACACTCTTTTCTAAGACTCTACCGGCTCAGGAAGGTACAAAGGTAGGCCCAAGCCCTTTCTCTGAGTGCCTCTTAAAAAGGGGTTTTGACAAGGTAATCGGTGCTTTTTTATACTAATGTAACATGGAATATCATGTCCAAACTAAGTGAAAAGGCAAAATAACAGCTGTTCCTTAATTATTCTAGTATTTGATGTTTAGGACCAGGTCACTGATTAAAGTAAATATTCAAATAAGTATTAATTTACTAACCATAATGCTGCTAACTGTTTTTCTTCTGGAGTGGCACTGGCGCCTGAGTGGGTTTTTAGTCTCACTGCATACCTTCAAAAGATAAAGAACAAATTCAGCAAATCCAGACAGACATTTTCTAGCAAGTGTCAGATACAGAAGCTGGACTGTTTTATTTTGGCTGAGAGTTACAATGCAATCCTAGGCAGACTTACTCAGAAGTAAGTCCATTAATTTAAAATTTTAAAATTTCCAGATAAATTTGTATAGGACTGCAACTTTAGCTGGTCACATCTATTCACTTTCATTATCATAATCATGCCCATCCACTTTGTCTTCCTTTTGAGTGGCAACCCTTCTCAAGAACTGCTATTGGATCTGCTTGCCTGTGCAGTTTTAGTACAATAATTCCTTCAAAACCCTATTCTCCGCTTATTCTCATGGAAACTAATCCGATAACCACGGTTATTATGCTTTAGTTTTCTACTGAACATACTTTGATTCTTTATTTAAGTCTTGCTGCTCCCCCCGCTTTATGCCACCCATGATTAAGGCTTCCTTCAATTGACTGCAATTCTCATTCTGTCCTGCACTGACTGTTAGAATGACTTAACTCACTGGCTATTTTCCTACATTACATCAAAACTCTCTGGTTCTGTTTTCAGTCCTTCCAGCTATCTGATCTATTTTGCCTCCCAGTTAACCATATGGCTTCACTTTTTCACTTCCTTAAATGGCTTCTCTTGGCATTATATCATGCTTGATTTTTTTCTAATTTCATGCCCTTTTATAACACTGTTCTCTTCTTCTGGTCTTGATTTATAAGCCCCCTCATGTTCTCTGAACATACTACTAATCTTTTCTGCAGACCACTGCAGGATGCTTTTCCAGTGAATGCTCGTCTAGCTTCTCTTCTTCTAATAATAATAAAATCTAAAACCATTGGCATTTCATTGCATTCGTTTTGTTTTTCAGACTTCTGCAGGATCTCTTCACTATGCCATATTTACAACTAGCACTCTAGCCTTTGTTTCTCACTTCTACTGTGTGTTTCACTTTCTTAACTGGATTAAGACACCTTTGGACACATGACCATTATTACTTTCAAAAATTTATGCTACTTTTTATAAATTAAATATGTCATCCATTTAGTGAGCAATCCTATGCATGTTTAGATGTAAAAATATTCTACAAATCCTAGAGTGGGAGCCACAGGACTATATTCTGTCTAAACATGCTTAGGATTGCACCCTTAGAAAGAGAATGCACTCACAGCTATAGGGTAGCTGCTTTGGTTGGAAGCTGAAGAAAGAGGGACAGGTGAACATTCATTTATTTGCCTCAAAGACCCTATGGTATTTGTGAACATTCTTTGTAAGTCCTCATACCACCCTTTGGGTATTTGCAGGTGCTTACAAAGCATGCTTGAAATATCCTCAAGTGAAAGTTTGACATTTCCATTTTGTCAGACAGTAAGCAAGTTGTACATTGGTGTAATTCATGAGGAGACCACAGGTAGTTTTCCACATATTCTCTTATGAATTGTCCTCGTCACCAAACAGACAGAAATGCATGAGAAGGAGGAGGCTATGCTTCAATTTACAGTACCAGTGAAAAGCATATCTGGAGCTTCCTCTTGTTGGCAGAGTATAAAAGTACATCACTGCCAATATAAGAACTGTGTGAGCATACATAATACACACAAAGCAGTTATTTTTTTCTGAACGCCATTTGACTCAAGCAGAATTAGACTTAGCAATTACAAAAACAAAATCCTTCTGAATCATATGATCATGGATTCAATATTAGTATCTTTTCATTACCTATAATTTCTGCCCATATTTAGAAAAATTCAGATCCATCCTTAACCTAGAAGTAGAAATACATGAACATAAGAGCCAATCTATGGTCAGACAATTCTAAACAATCTTACCTGATGAGTTCAACGGTTTCTGAATACATTGTATAAGGGGATTTAGATTCCATAGGTCCATGTTCCATAGCATTCCACATTCAATAAATGATAATGCAGCTTCAGCATAATTCAGCGCCTTGCCAAACTTCTCCACCTTACAAACAAATTCAGCATACAAAACCTCAGCAATGGCAAAACAGTGGCTAATACTTTGTGCTCACCCAACTGTTGATGCTAAAATAGTATAACACATTCTAAAACATTTTCAGATACTACTCCAGGGAGACAAAAAGAAGCGGGGACATTGGCCCATTCCAGATTATCATACACAGACTTTATAAGCTATGATATGCAGAAGCCTTTGGCTCACGCATGCACATGAAGGAAAAATACAGCAAGTGAGCATGCAGTATATCTTTTATTTAAAATTTATAAAAGGTAAAAAACCTTCTTATCCTGTCATGTGCATTTTCAAATATATTACAGACAAGATAGGAGCAGATGGTATAGAGATACAAAGGGAAGGCGGTATTTTGAAAAATTGCCTATATCCTTCTTTTGTAAGGAAGCAAGCATTGTATCAAAGAGCTTGGGTACAATAATATAAACATGAACTTCTAGCTAAAACAGCTTTGGAGGAGGGGAAATGTTACACCATTAAGCCACTTTTAAAACAAGATTAAAAACTCTAATTTTAATTTAACCAAGCACATATCAGTGAATTCACCCTGAATATTAAGGCATAGCAACTGAACTATGTACAGTTTTGTATTAATGTTTCTTACTAAAAAGACTAGTTTTTATCTTAAAAGATTACTAGTAGTTTTTTTCTGATGAAGGTTATATATAGACACTATTTATTAATAAATTCTTACCATTGCATCTGCTTTATGCTTCTTCCGTTTAGCTTCCTGCATAAAATATTCTACATTGTGTGACCTAGAATGCAACAAAACATGAGGGAAAAAATGAGTTTTCTTTCTTTCTTTCTTTCTTTCTTTCTTTCTTTCTTTCTTTCTTTCTTTCTTTCTTTCTTCTTGAGTCTTTTTTCTTTACATGGTTTGTTTCAAAAATAACAATACCATGCTGACAATATACATTACACGGATATGGCAAGCTTGACTGAAGAATCAGAAACAAATTCTAAACCAAAGAAACTATGAACAAATACCAAAAACAACCTAGAAGAACTAAGCAGTAAATATGACCTTAAAAAATGAATGCCGTTCTCAATCTAATGAAATTCTTTCAGAAATCAAGATGGAAAACATGTCCCAGAGTTTTCTAACAGGGGGGACTTTACTCCATCACACTGCTAGATTACAGCCCAGTCATCCATAGTTAAATAATGTGATACACTGAGATAAGTCCTGTCCCAAGTGTACACAACAAGTAGGATTTTAAAATATGGCACAAAGTAGTTGGCGTAAGGAGAAGGCAACAAGCTCTGGGATGGAATAGGCAGGAAAGGCTGTTGTTACATTGTTGGTTGTATGAAACACGAAAGAGACAGACGTTTCCATACTGCCACCTGGGAGTCAGTTTTACAGGATCTTTGGAGCAGGAGTGGGCAAGCCAGGCCAAATCCAATTCTCCTGGTGCTCCAAGTGTGAGCTTTGGTATTTCCCAGATGACCTTGCCTCTTTTCCTGGCCACACCCCCCTTTCCCCCCAACTGCTAGTCTTTTGGTGGTCATAAGTCAAGCAGGCTCTGTGCACAGTAGGCCATCAGCAAGATGTTCAAAACGAGCCTCTTAATGCGGAATTAAAAAGGAAGCAAGTACCATTTCTAATTTTTTGCAATATCACTAGTAGAAAGGCAGTAATCATTACAATACAAAGGAAACCTGATTCTGTGAACTATTATACCAGATCAGGATTAGCATTTTTTGAAATGCCAAAATTAACTGTAGATATTGGCTCTTTGTGCAATAAAACAAATGCCCTAATTATAGTTAAGAATAATTTCTAGTGTTGAGTTCTTAAAATATCTGATCACAGCAATTATAATAACTTTACAGACTAAGGTTTAAATTTAAAAAGTAGCAAGAGTCTTTCATTCTGGCATAGTATAATTCAAATCTTCCTGGGAAAAAGTATATTGACTGCCAATGTTTCTAATTAGTATTTTTAATTGGTAGTATGAATAATGACAGGACAGACTACATGTGTTGAATGATCTTCTCGCAAAAGACCCTAAAATTTTGTCTTCACTTTAACAAGGGCAATCTCCACACAATATCTGAGGTTAATAGAGGCTGAAATTATCTAAAAAATTTACTGCCTATCCATAAAGAAGCACTTTTAGCTGTATTGCCAGCAATTTTTCTAAAAGCATGCTCCAAGATAGTAAGAAATAAAGCATTTCTACTACTTGTTATATTGCAGGAACACTCAAATGCGGGCATGGAAGCAGCATTCAAATCAATTCCTTTTAATAGAAGTTCTCTTGGAATATCTGGTCTACAATTTATTTTAGATTATGCAGAGAGATAGAAAAGAAATGCAAATTGGTGCAATACAAAATTTTGGACACATAAAAAGTGTTTCCTTAAATAAAATACTATTATGGAATATTATATATATATTTAAGTCAACATTTTATTGAGTTCATTGCAGCTTAAATTCCCATCTAAACTGTTAATTGTACAATAGCTGTAGAGGCCTGTGCTACATTGCACCATGAAAAATGAAATTATAAGAAGTAAGTTGCCATCATGAGTCTCCTCTATATTGTGAATCTTCTTCCACTCATTCAGTATATCTGTGACTGATCTTTTCTGTTCACATTTGCTTCTATCCACGTTCCAGTTATCTCTGTAGGTTGAAGAGGCTTCAATCTACAGTTTCAACACAATATAATGCTCAGTTGTTCATATTTTTGAGAGCAAAAATTTTTGTATAGTTTTATACCTGTAGGAGAACTACACTGTCCATAAATGAATACTTTTATCCATTGTATAAAAGTATCCAGATGTATTCGGACAGGAAAAGCTACTTCTATTATTAGGAAAGGGTCATACAAAGGCATACAACAAGGAGATCGTTGCATTGATTTGGGGCATGATTGCATAGAATTGTGGACTTACACAGTTCATTAGTAGGAACAGAAATAAGTTTAACAAAATATATTAGCAAAAAGTTACTTTGTACTTTTAATATATCTTGTGCTCCCAGTATGTCTAGTACAACCTTCCCCAACCTCCAGATGTTTTGAACTACAAAACACTGCCATAACATGGCCAAGAGTTCTGGGTATTGGAGACTAAAACATCTGGAGGAGCTCAGCTTGGGGAAGGCTGGGGTAATGTTTTGTGAAGTGAACAGGTGCCATGAAAAATACAGTGCAATTCCATAAGTAATTCTACACGCGCACCATTAAAAAGCGAACAAACAAGAACAACTATAATATCTCTGTTGGTTAAGTCTGCACTTCTGTTTTTTTTATTTGACTTTTTTCATAAAGCATCTGCACAAAAATGGAAGATAACTATCATAAAGTTCCTTAAGTTCAATTCAGAATATGCCTTGGGTGTTTCATTTTGATGAACAGGCAATTATGGAGGCAATGTTAATCAAAATACATTAATCTCCATAGCAGAAATAATGTTTACTCACCCATCAGTAAAGATGAGTTTTGTTTTCCTGCAGTCTTTATGCATACTGGGTGTAGGTGACCACTCTTTTTGGCACTGTGGCTTGTTGCACAGTAAAGTATTTTCTGAGTTGATGTACACTGCTTTCTGGGGGAAAAACAAACCAAACCAAAAAACAAGAAAGAGGACTGTCAGGAATTAGGCACAGATTCAGCAAAGGCATTCAGTAAACAGTGAAGGCAGGGTTGGGGAACATCCAGCAAATGGGCCATCTAATATCTGCAAGGGTTCACTACGTAATAGTGCCCCTGCCCTGCCCCTTCTATTCAGGAAGGGGAAATTCTGATAAGCAGCTAATCAGAAATAACTGGTTTCTCCTTCTTGACATTGAAAAGAGATCCCTTTCTCCACATTTAGCCAGTGAAGGGACTTTTCTCCAATCATTTGCTGCTTGGAAATAGAGAGTTTTAATTTGAGAGGGAGGCAGAATGCTTCTGGGTGAGTCAATCCTGCTTCCTGCAGAGACTCGTATGACTTCTTTTTGAGTAGTGATGCACGCATGAGGGCTTGCCCTGCTCCTTTTGGGAATGACCATAGTACTCATGCTTATGTCTGAGTCATTATTTGAAGGTCCAGTTATCTATAAAGTGGTAGAGGTGCGTGGCTCCAATATCAGTGGGGTGATGTATCCACTTTGGCTTTCAGCAGAAACCATTAAGGAGCTATTCGTGGTGCTGAACCCTATCCCCAAAGGAGTTTCATATTATGGATAGCTTTAGAGTTTAGACTGAGACCTGAATGGATACGTTGTCCCACTGGCATGGGAGCCACCAGTCGCTGCTGCTTCAGAGCCTTGCCCTGATTATTTGTGAGCAGGCATGCTGCCCATGCTTACCCCTGAGCTGATATGCTTCTTACTACAATTTGGCAACAGCAGAATTATAAGGAGGGGCTCAGTTCCCCAATTTCTGTTTAGTTTTGCCTTTGGAATGCAACTGGAATACAACCCCTGAAACTTCTCTGAAATGGCATTTGACCATCAAGTGTATCACCCCGGATCTGAGGACTACTTCCCTTATTATTACTTTGATGCATGGCAACCATCAAAGCGCAATCCCTCCTCCCCCTCAAAACGTTTCCAAAGAATGCATGGATTTATGTATTAATGTATTCATAGGTCAGGCAAGAGGTCTGCTGAGAAAAATACTACATGTCTAAACTAGTTACAATCCAAATTTGTAATTTTAAAGAAATCACACAGTAGGATCCTTTGTAAAGGAAAATCCCACTGAATTCAGTGGACCATATTCCCAAGTAAGTGCAAATAAAATTGCAGCCTGAGTTGATCAGTCAATAAACTTTTGGTCATAATTCTATATACATCTACAAGGGAATAACTCACATTGAGCTCCGTGGGATTTACTTCTGAGTAAACAGGTATAAAATTGTACAGATAATCAAATTTTGCTTTTTAAGTGAATATTCTGCAACATAACAGAATATTAGAATGTTCCTTCAAAGCTATCCCACCCAAAAAATGCAGGAATGTTTTTCAGAGAACTTTTAACATGAGATCTGGGGTGGAAAATGGAGTTGCAGTGATTGCTTATAACAAAAATGCAGAGATTACATCCTCTGGGGGGGGTACTGCAAATATAATTTTCTAAGCTTTTTTCCAGTTCAGCTTGCAGCCTGTCCAAATACTACAGTGACAGAAAAGGCTTTCCATCATAGCCCCAGCAACCACACCTCAGATGTAGGTGGGACTTGCAGAAAAGCTTGTCCAGGTGATCTAAGTGGATGGGCAGCCTTGCATGCAGGAAGATGGTCCTATAATTATGTTGTGATCATAACTTACACTGAAATCTCCAGGATGCAGGTGGGGTCGGATCTCACTCTTGTGTTTTTTGCTTGAGGATATGGAGGACAATAGGTTGCTACCATTGGGCTTGCTAGAAGAGCTTAAATCCTCACTGGAGAATTTGTGTTTTGATGCATCGGAGAGGGGTGAGATGGGTGACCGTAGAATTTTCTCATTTTTATTTATTGGTGCTGCCGAGCTGGAAATGGAAATTACAGTAATGGAAGATCACAAATGCCAGCTCTGAGAAAATAAATATTTTATAAATTACTGTTATATATTATGAGCACTACTGGTTTCATCTTGTGGTAGGATGAACTCTGCTGACTATTATTTAATCTAGAAACAGCTTTAAGGACCAAGAGCTGGCCTACAAATGTGGGTTATGTTCTCTACTTTCCCTAGGGCAAGATGCAATTCTATAGTTAATAGTACCTACCTAAAGTACTTCTAATATAAATGGAGAGTTACTCACTATCCTTTTAAGTGTTGGAAAATAAGACAAAGCTCTTAAGAGTAAGTCTGGGTTATACAGCACTATTTTACAATTAAGGTGACATTTTATAAGCCAGACTAATAAAACCACATGTGGACTGAAACAGAGAAATGCACTTGTAGCTGGCTGGAATTTCTCTGAACTTGGTGACCAAGGTTTGATAGCGCTGTTAACTTAATCTGATGCAGTGCCTGCGGTGAGAGAAATATAAACTAGCATACCTATCAAAGAGCAAAAAGAGCACAAAAAGGAAAAGAGACACCACATGTTCTTCTAAGTGCAAGAGCTCCCTGTGAAAAGCAAAACAAAAACATTTCTGGCATTTTACAATATATTATTACTTATCATTCCCATAGCAAAGTTAAACAGATGAATAAGTCTTATCTCTTTTTCTTCATAACCATTTTGTGAGGCAAGTTAGACCCTAAGTACCATGATTTAGGGTTTCAGAGGATGAACTTCCAAACAACTATGTCAGCCTATGTCTATTATGGCTGCTCACCTGTAAAAACTTTTTAAGTAACACCTTGATAAACCTTGTTCTCCCACTTCTTCAGAAATATTAAGAAGCTAAGAATTCACCAGCCGCTACAACAAACTACTACATCCCCATGTTAGCAAAACCATTTATTTCTAAATTCAAACCTGAGATACATTTCTACAGAATAATGAAACAGAGGTTTAGTTCTTGGGGGACTGACCTGTTCAACAATGAGAAAAAATAATGACCCCAGTGACTCCAAAACAGAAGGGTTTTGTAGTACTGGTTTAAAAACAAGGTTTGAAATCATCTCTGGTAGGCACTGGACAGTGGCTTTTGTTTATCACAAAAGAGAACCCAAAAGCACACCAGGTATTAATTGTTTTATCTGTTGCTTAGAAGTCCATTAACTGAACAGATCGTGTTGATATTTTCCTGGACAAATGCTCCATCCCTCACTAATCCTTGTCATTTCGTCATCATCTCACCTCTTCCACTATTTTACTCCCAACCCTTATGTGGGTTTGAAGCAGGGCATCTTTACTGATATTCTGCAGAGCACTGTGTAAAGTGATGGCAGTTTTAGAACATAAGATACTTGCTTATACTGAGTCAGATACCTGGTCCATCTAGACTAGTATTATCAAGTTTCAGGCATGACTCATGCTATCCCTATCTGGAGATGCCACGGTTTGAATCTGGAGTCTTCTGCAGGCAAAGCATATACTCCTTCACACTGACTTATGCCACATCCCATAAATTTTATATTGATCTAGAATTCTACTCAGCTCCTTGACTTCAATATTTTTTAAATGCAGGGTGCTTTTAGAGTTGACTTTTATAGTGTAATAATCCTGCCTCATTCATGGAATTGTGCATGTGTTCCATTTTCCTTTTGCTACAAAAAATCTGTTAAGGAGAGAAAGATGGAATAGCTGCAGGATGCATTTTTGTTTGCAGTGCTAGGAACCGTCTGGAAACAGAATTAATCGAACTGCAATTGAATGCAAAGTATGATTCAGTGCTGAGAAAATAAATCAATTCCAGCAAATTTGAAAACAATTCTGTCCAAAGTAACTTACATCCAAAATTCACAGAAAGAAGAAACAACACACATTTATAATTATGACAACCCCCTCTCACATTTGGCTAGATAATGCCATTAAACTTGTTCCAGTGTTGACCAAACACTAGTGAAATTCTGTCCCTGCTAGTGTATTAGATTCTGCTCTTTTCCTGTAGAGTTCAATGTGCATCTTATGAGTTACAACGGACAGGAAGGACACTGTTGAAGCTCCTCAGGAAGTAAAGAGCAGTCTGGTAATATAGACCTGAGAGTCAGAGAGCTTGCTTGCATCTCTGATCAGCAAGAATCAGAAAACAGGCACATATAAGGAAGCCTGGACCTTAGCTACTAGAGGGATGTGTAATATCATCCAGAATTAGGGAAATGTCTGAAAAGATTACCACTTATTAATGTAATTTGTATACCTTTCTACCAAAAAATGGCACCAGAATGTCTTGAAGAAACAATTTAAAATTGGTTAAAACAATTTAAAATGCCTTAGAACATATTATGGCATAATAAAAAACAGCAGCCAACGGAACAGATGCACTTAGATGCCAATGGTCTTCTTGAAGAAAGCAATCTTTGCCTGCAGGCGGAAGGATAGCAGAGATGTACCAGCCTCCTTCAGGGGGAGGTTTCACAGCCTGGATGGCCACCAAGAAGGCCCTCTCTCATATCTCCTATCACCACCAAGCAAAATTCCGAAGGTGGAAATCTTAAAAGAAGGTCCTCTTCCAAAGATTCTAAAATCTGGGAGGGATTTTATAAGAGAAGGCAGTCTTTTAGGTAGCCTCGTCTCTAATCACAACAGCAAAGATTTAATATCTAAAGACCTTCTCAAAACAGTGAGTAGGTACACACATTCTATTCTTAGTACTGTCTTAACAGTACTTGGTTCAGCACTAGTGATATGCCATATCCAATTCCATATAATTGCCATGGGTTGATAGCATTGCTGTAGGAAATGCTGTCACTTCTAACAGGAAAAATACAATTCACCAAAGGAGGGAAAACAAATATTAAAAAAATAAAATAAAACTATCAATAGACATTTGCTTTTTGGAAAAAAGAACTGACTTTATTCATCCTGACCAAGATATTCAGGTTGGAGCAGCCTACATATGCTGGACTGTTGCTTGTAAAAAGCTTATAAATTATGAGCTTAACCACTTCCAGATTTTAAAGACTAGTGAGATAAAATAATGATTGCACATATAGTCCATTCAATTAACTTGGTTCACTAAAATAGTACTATAAAATGAAGCATATTTTTCCCATATTTTTTCTGGCTATATTAAGCATATTTTGCACTCTATTTTAGATATAAAGAATAGGAATACTGAGGAATACCCATAAAAATGGATAGTCTAAACTCCAGATAAGACATTATGCAGCAGGCTAAGGTAGTGGATTCAATACGCTGCTAGCTCTTATTTTTAGCTTTGAACATTTTTTTCTTTATGTTGCTTTCCAATTTATTTTTAGGCTTTAATTTCTGAGGCAGTGAACTTCAAATTGCATTTGCACAAGTGTAATGTCCACTAAGCAGATTCTTCAAATCTCTCATGGAAGTACGTCGGTCATGGGGGAATTCATTTTTCCAACACTCAAATTACAATGCTTTTCACTGGCAAATGCAGATCTCCCTCATTGCTAGCACATGAATTGAGAGAGATGTGTAATTAGGACTGCGGTTATGCAGTATCACAGCTGAGCTCACTGATCCCTGGTGACCGCAGCACCACTAGTGACAGCTACACAATTATTTTGTCCTTTCCTAGTGTCATCCTGTGACCTTTTCTTAATTTACACACAAGATGTAAGCTGTAATACGAAAGAAGGCTCCCTGACACAGGCATATGTTGATGAGATCATCAATGTGAGTAGGGCATCTATAAAGACCTATAGTCCCTGGAGAAGAATAAGGCAAGGGAGAAAGCCTGGAACTGGACAGGCCATGCAATGGATTCCAGCAAGTTAATCCTCAAGATACACTGAGGTATCTTTTTGACTGAACTGTGTGAACATATGAATCTGTCTTAAATCATTAGACCAGACTTCCCCAACATGGCCCCCTCCATCCTCAAGGGACATTAGGAATTGTAGTCCAATACATCTGGAGGGTGCCGGGTTGGGGAAAGTTGGAGTTAGATTTTTAGTACATCCAGTCCTGTATTATCTATGCTAACTGACAACAGCTGTGTGGAGCTTTAGAAAGGGCTCTTCACTGGATACCCCATTACTACCTGATATTTTTACAGGATCTTCTACCTGCACTCCATCACTGAGCTATAGCTACTTCTCTCACACACCTGTCACTGAATAATTCTGGCTCCCTGAGGTCTGAAACTTCTGCAAGGCACCAGGTTGAGGAAAACTGTCTTAAAGTATTAGGATGATTTATTCCTTACAAGGTCAGCCATACTAAAATGATAAACATAGCAAACAATACAAAATTATAGCCATCAGAATGCAGGACTGTAGCCAGAACAGATGCACTGTCAAACAAGAGGAGTTATCAGCATACTTGGGGGAATCTCAAGATTCGCAAAAGTATGAAAAGGTATTTTGAGCATGCTCAGTAAATGAGAAGTGTGAGCTGACTGTATATATATTGCAACAGAAGATAAACATCTTAGATGTAATGAAGTACTTGCAATGAGAAGTAAGCACACTCCAACACATAAATTGTACCGATTAATAAAATTCTATTCCTTTGGGTGCAAAATATCTTTTTCATAATGAACATTAAATATTAGCACTTTTACACTGAACCGCATACCTGTTTTTTATCACACTGTAATGATTTGGTGTTGAAATAACTTGGGTTGCAGTGAGTAAATGTGAGGAACACTCTTGCTCAGTGTGCATCTTCTTGCTCTCCCTGTTCTCATCCTCATTTTCATTCTAAGGGAAGGGGAGAAATTATATATTGAATTTTGCAGGTAATAGCAGAGTCTTTGAAAATTGTACAGCCTACACTTTATGATAGCAGGCAGAGCATGCGTGTGCATATATATAATGTTTCAGACACATACAGAATCGCTTAGCTCAGGGGTGAGGAACTGAAAGTGTGTGCGCGGAGGACAGATGACACCCACAAATCCCTCTATGGGAAAGATGACATCAGGTTGTGGGGTCACTCCCCTGCAACATCATCCAGTGTCCTGTTGAAGACTCGTGAAGAGGTTTATTTATTTAAACAATTTCTATACTGCCCCATTTGCAAAAAGCCTCGGGGCGGCTTACAACAGAAATAAACAATTATATAATTAGCCTTAAAATCCGGAAACATCTCGGCACGTCCATAAAAACCCAATAAATACAATCAATAAATTAACAATTAAATTAACTTTTAAATAAAAAGGTCTTGGCCTGGCACCGAAAAACAAATAACGACGGTGCCAGGCGGACCTATCTGGGGAGCACATTCCATAGGTGGGGCGCCACCGCAGAGAAAGCCCTCCTCCGAGTACTCACCCTCCTAATATCCTTCACGGAGGGTTCCTGGAGAAGGGCCTCTGCTGCCGATGTCAAGGGGCAGGAGGGCATATATGGACGCAAGCGTTCCTTTAGATAACCAGGTCCCAAGCCGTTGAGGGCTTAATAGGTGATAACCAACACCTTGAATTGGGCCCAGACTTCAATGGGAAGCCAGTGAAGCTGACGGAGGTCTGGGGTTATATGAGAACAATGCCCAGTCCCCGTCAGCAACCTGGCAGCTCTGTTTTGCATCAATTGAAGTATCCGGACCATCTTCAAGGGTAGCCCCACGTAGAGCGTATCTCAGAAGTTTAATCGGGAAGTTACCAGTGCATGTGTCACTGTCGCCAGGCAATTGTTCTCCCGGTAGGGACGCAGCTGATGGATCAGCCGAAGCTGAAAGAAGCTCCTTGCCACCACTATCACCTGAGCTTCTAATGACAGCTCCGGGTCGAGGAGCACTCCCAAGCTGCAAACTTTGTCCCTAAGAGGGAGTGCAACCCCATTCAGGACAAGGTCCAAGTCTCCTACCCCAAAGCCCGAACCACCCACCAACAGGACCTCCGTCTTGTCTGGATTGAGCTTCAGTTTATTGGCCCTCATCCAGCCCATTACCTCGGCCAGACACCTGTTCAGTACAGCCACTGCCTCACCTGGATTGGTTGAAAACGAGAGGTAGAGCTGGGTATCATCAGCATACTGATGATTCCACAGCCCACACCTCCTAATGACCTCTCCCAGCGGTTTCATGTAGATGTTGAATAGCAAGGGGGACAAAATGGACCCCTGAGGAACTCCATGGCATAACTGCCATGGCGCAGAGCCATAGTCCTCCAGCACCACCTTCTGGAATCGGCCATTGAGATAGGAGTGGAACCACTGCAAAGCAGTGCCTCCAACTCCCAATCCCGCTAGCCTATCCAGAAGGATACCATGGTCGATGGTATCGAAAGCCGCTGAGAGGTCCAGGAGAACCAACAGGGACGCACCCCCCCCGTCTTTCTCCCTGAACAGGTCATCATACAAGGCGACCAAGGCAGATTCAGTACCATACCCAGATCTGAAGCCAGACTGAAATGGGTCCAGATAATCAGTTTCATCCAAGAGTGCTTGGAGTTGTCCCGTCACCACCCGCTCTAACACCTTGCCCAGGAATGGGATGTTGGTCACTGGTCTATAATTGGCGGCCACCTCTGGATCCAGGGATGCCTTCTTTAGAACTGGCCGGACTACCGCCTCCTTTAAAGGGGCAGGTACCCAGCCATCCCTTAGAGAGGCGTTGACAACCTCCAGGATCCAGGCCCCTATCCCGTGCTTGGCTTTGGTAAGTAGCCAAGATGGGCACGGGTCCAGTAAGCAGGTGGTGGGACGTACTTGTCCAAGCACCTTGTCCACATCATCACGCCGCAACAACTGAAACTCCTCCATCAATTTTGGACCAGACGGCAACATTGACACCTCCCCAGAAGGTTCTGAGTCACTAGTGGAGTCCAACTTGTGACGAATCTGAGCAATTTTTTCCTTGAAATGCTTGGCAAAGTCATCACAGCAGGCCATTGAGGGTGGCACGACGTCTTTTTTGAGGTCTGGGTGAACCAGCCCCTGTACCACCCGAAAAAGCTCCGCCGGACAGCATTGCGAGGAGGCAATGGAAGCGGAGAAGAATTTCTTCTTTGCCGCCCTCACCGCCGCATCATAGGCCCGATAATGGGCTCTTAAGTGTATTCAGTCAGATTCATCCCATGATTCCCTCCACCTACACTCTAGACGTCTCCCAACCCGCTTCATCACCCGTAGTTCAAGTGTATACCAGAGGAATGAAAGCGCTCTGCCAGGTGGGAGAGGACGCTTAGGTTGATAAGCCTACCTGGAACCTGCTGGCTGGGGGAATAACCAGAAAGAGGAACAGGTGTTAACCATCTGTCCCTCCTTCTTCTATGCGGACTCGTTAAACCCCCAACGCCATAATGTCCATTGCCCATAACCACCCCAATGGCGGCGCCCACACACTCCCCAGGCAACCCCATAGTCAAAGTCGGAGATGAATCCATTAAAACAAACTAAACACACATAAAAACACCCTCATAATCCCTTCAGCCCAATATAACCAGCCTCACCCGCCGGCCAACTACAAAGACCCTCACCAGCCCAGCCCCTGCACGGCCCCGAATGGCGTCACTGCCGTTAGACTGACGCCCTTCGGCCGCTGGCCCCGGTCGCTGCCAACAAGTTAAAGGCCGCAGATCTAGCTTTGTTATGGGCAGGTTGCCTTCACTAGGAAAAGCTTGCATGCAGAGTGTTCCCTATCCCTTCTTCAGGTCAAAAGGTTCATCAGTATTGCCGCTCAAAGGAAAAGAATCGCTTGTGACAATTTCAAGGTATAGGGGTTCTAGTGTGACAAAGAGTGCTAGAGACAGGATGGACCATGTCCCTATTATTCCAAAATGTCAGCCTCCCTATGGGTTTAAAAAGCCTCTCATGGCATAGAAAATGATTGGAGTATTGCAGGCAGAAAATTACATTACTAAGATACGTGTATATAAATGAATGTGTGTCAATTTTCTAGTTCAGGAACCAAATATTTAAAATGGCCCCTTCTGGGCCTCATTTCTGCACATCATTTGTTATATGCAGTTTTCCTTAATTTATTTTTCCATTGCTATTTCTCTTTCTTGGTGCCATTACTTCCTCTCATTACTGCTTTGCATGTATGACTACAGTTACTGTCCCACAAATCTCAATATTCTCTATAACTAAGTTTGTGGAACATGGCAACCCACCACAGGTAACTAGATTGTTGTGCCACATGAATATAATTTTTCCTGGAATTTGACTGAAAGTTTTATTTGTATTTTAAACCACTGCAGCTTCTATCTCCGGTTATAGAAGTTTCTGATGCCTCAGAGGAAGTGTGTGTGTGTGTGTGTGTGTGTGTGTGTGTGTGTAGGGAGCCCCTCCTAGTTTAAATGGGCTTCAGCATCAGGTAGTTCATGCATGATCCTCTTAATGATGCATCACGTGCACATGCTTTCATGTCCTTACAACTTTTATCAGTGCAGCTCCAGGTTATGGAGGGCATGTGGGAAACACACTGAGTGAATCTACTTGCTCACCACCAATGCACCAGCTGTTACGGCTCCCCAACCACTTCCCCATTGTTGTTACAACTTGCTTGCTTGACAGGCAGAGAGCGGGCAATCAAGCCATGGCATCTCTGCTCCTCCTTTCCACTGCTACCATTGCCTGGCCCAGAGCAAGTCAACAAGCAGGTTGCAAGGACAAACAGCAAGTCCAAGGAGCTCTTGCTAGTGGACCCCTCTGTGTGTGTGGAACTTTGGGAGGTACCCAATCATGCCCACCCTTGAAGTCATCGCTGATCTTTACAGGCACCACAGATGGGTCGCTTCAGTTATCCTAGGTCAGCTCCCCAGCTTTTCTTGCCAGGCAGATCAAAGATGATGGACATGACTCTTTGTCCTTTGTTTTCTCTGGCATTAGCTGCCCTGTCTTCTAGTTGGTTGGATAATGAACAGAACAGACAGAACAAAGAAGGAATACAGCCATGATCCAGATAAATATTATACCCCTTTACTTACATAAATGTTATAAAATTCCTTCTATCTTCTGACAGCTTAACTGCAGGTAAGACTATATTGAATTGATAAAAACATTTCATGCACCTCAGAAGCAAATGTTTTGTTTTGGGGGTGCAGAAAATTCTCTTGGGTGGCTGGAGGAAGCAAATTGAAGCAGTACTGAAATGACTTGTGTTGAAAGAGTTTCCACACCTTATCAGGAAGCTGGCTCCATATTTATTAGTTCCCAGGGATGAGCATCAGTGGGCCATGTACTCACACAAGTCTTGAAGATAAAAACGTAAATGATGCTCTGTGGTGGCAATTAGGCAGTGGAGTACTTTGCAAACGAAGAAGAACTTGTTGAAGGGGACAAAAGGAAGACCAAGAAAGGGAAGCCTACCTGTTAGTGAGATAACAAGTTCAGGTATACCTCAAGAGATACCGCGGGTTTGGTTTCAGACCACCACCGCAATAAAGCAAATACTGCGATAAAGTGAGTCACATGGTTTTTTGGTTTCCTCGTACATATTAAAAAATATGCTTATGCTATACTATAGTCTATTAGATCTGCAATAGCAGTATGTTTTTAAAAAATGTACATACCTTAATTAAAAATATTTTATAGCTAAAAAAATGCTAACCATCATCTAAGCCTGCAGCGAGTTATAATTTTTTTGCTGGTGGAGAGTCTTCTTACAACAGTAACATGAAAGATCATAGATCAGCATAACAAATATAATAATGAAAAAGTCTGAAATATTGAGAGACAATTATAATAACAATTATTATTATTATTATATTGAGAGATAATTATAACAACAATTTAAAAAGTTTGAAATATTGAGGGAATTACCAAAATGTGACACAGAAATGCAAAGTGAGCAAATGCTGTTGGAAAAACAGTGCCGATGGACTTGCTCAATGCAAGGTTGCCACAAACCTTCAATTTGTAAAAAATGCAGTATCTGCAAAGTGCAATAAAGCAAACTGCAATAAAACGAGGTATGCCTGAACTAGTAGATGGTGCCACTCGATCAGCGTCTTAATTTGTTTTCATTGTTAGACATGTGGCTTGTGATTGGGTGGGGAACTCTTTCTAGCTGGAGGTCCACATTCCTTTGGAGGGAAAGTGGTCAGTGGTGGCATATTCACAGTGTTCTGGGCCAAAGTACACATATTTCTATGCACATGCATGTACCGTTTGCTTCTGTGCTGTGCACTGAGAAAAAGAGGCTTCTTTTCAGCACACAGCAGGGAAGCCAAACCAAACCAAGATATCCTTCTTTCTCTCCATGTGCATGGAAAGTTCCCTAAGCAAAAACTAAATCAAAAACCTGAACTGAACTAAGAATGAGTCAGAAAACCAGTAGTTCTTCTTTTTCACCTCCTTGGCAAAATTTTCTCCAAATCTGCTTGCTTGCTTGCTTTTTTTGGTGGTTTACAACCATTCTCTATGATGTTACACATAGAGCTTTGCAGACAATGGAAAATGGGGGCCAGGCTGCAACACAGTACCTGCACAGTGCCAAAACAACAACATCATCATCATCAACAACAACACCCTCTTTGGGAAAAAAAGAGCTAGCAGTAAGCCCCAGCACTGAGAAACTGCTCAAGAGTTTCTCTTTCCACCGGATGAATTTGGTGAAATACTCTGCTGCTTAAAATGTTCTCTGCTCAGGAATAAGGTGGAAAATTTCTGGAAGCCATTTGCGCACAGCTCTAATTGAAAGGGTTAAGAAGTTGGGCTGGGGACAGAGTAAAAGAAAAAAAAATCCAGCTGGAAAATGCATTTAGGGAAATCAAACCATGACATCTTACTGGTACAGTTTGGGATAAGAACACCACTCTGTTTATTATTTATTCATTCTACTTATAGCCCACTTTTTATCTTCCCAGCTAAGAACCCAAGGCAGCTTACACAATCCTCCTCTCCACTTTATCCTCACAACAACCACCCTGTGAGATCGGTTAGGTTAAGAGTCAGTGACTGGCCCAATGCCACCAGAGAGTTTCATGGCTGAGTGGGGACTAGAACCCAGATCTCCTAAGTCCCAGTCCAATACATGCACGGTTACACCACACTAGCTCTTGGGAGGCAGTTTCACAAGGCACTGCTTATTCAGATTTCTTTTATACCTTCATGCGGTTCAGCAGCTTCCCCCATCCATTCACAAGTTCTAACTCACTTGTACAGTATCTACTGAGTAATGACAGCCATTAGGCTGTCCAGGCAAGATTTTCTACAGGAAGCTTTTAATGTCTGTATCAGCTGTGGGTTTTGTTTCAGAATTGAAATTCTAGCTCTAAACAAGAATATTCCTTTCTTCCTTTTCCACTATATAACCTTCAGGTGGTGTTGGGCTACAGTGGAAGAATGCAAATACACAAGTTGTCATTAGCTTTCAGAAATAATATACCATTTCTTTCAATATAAAGCAAACCAAAAAAACAGGAAAGTGTTCTTCAAAACAGAAATGAAACTGGAAGATCACAATGTTATTTAAACATTGTGTAAACAACCCTGCTGTTAGCCATACCCAAGCCATCCTTATTTGCCTGGTAGAAAGAACAAATCAGCCATGGATTTAATCAATGAAACAAATCTGGCTGGGGCCAGTTCACTGGAAAAATTCTCCTTGAATTGCTGGGTTCATTTCAAATTTTTTTAGACTGAAACTCTGTTTCTCACTAGCCCTAGCTCAAATTGATATTCTCAGGAACAGCCTTTCCACAAAGGCAAACATGCAACATACATTTGTGCCTCACAGTGGTCTAGCTACATGGACCTTACATTGATTTTGTGCTAATGGATGTACAGGCCAGTCTGCCAATGCTGCACTACGCTAGGCCCTCTTTCTCAGTAATGCAACAGCACAAAGATGTTTCTTCTCATGTCAGTACATATTTCCTCTCATGTCAGTCCCTTAGCTGAAGTGCACATTTATTCTTTTCTGTACTGCTCTTTGGCATTGCATAAATGGTTAGTATAATCCAGTGCACCACATATGTACGACTTTCCTAAGGGGAACAGAGAAAGAACAGAACCCCCTTCACGCAATATACACAAGAAAAGGGAGCACACACTGAAAGAGGAGGCAGGGCTGCTCTGCCTTCAACATCACACAACTTTCCTAGTCTCGCCTTTGCAGTGGCCACATACTGAAAATGGATGGAACAGGGGAAGCCTATGCTCACAGAGCTATGAGAGAGGGAACCCTGCACAAATAGGATGCCTGCTTTCTGTGGAAATCGACGCTGGTGGAGCATACAAGAACGTTCATGCCCAAGGCATGGGCATCAGGGCCATGAAAGACACACAACACTGGCACCACATGGATTCCTTCAACTGATTAATGGTGAAGCAGACTCATTGCAGCAGCAACAAAACAAGCTGTGAGCAAATACCATCAGTGGGTATTGAGACAGGAATTAAAAGGTTTTGTTTAAAATAATTTTGGGGCTTTATTCTTCAGTGACTGGAGCTGAGGTGAGGAAGCCATAATATCCCTTGCAAACTGAAAGCACCAGGTTCAGTCTCTGGTATCTCCAACCAAAAGGTTCAGGTAGGAAAGGTCTCACCTGAGACCAGACAAGGCTCTTACTGACAGCCTCATTCTTAGAATTTTACAAGGAGTTCAGACATCATCTTTCACCTTTTTAACCCTCTGTTATTTTCCTACTGCTTCTTCCCAGGGGAAAAACTCATCAAGGAGAAAAGCACAGAATATCAGTCCTATGCCTTTTCACTGGTAGCTCTAGGGGCCCTGTGTCTGGGAACACCCATCTGGAATATTGTGCTGGACAGACAGACAAATAGCCTTTACTCAGCAGTTTCCCAAGTCCTTTCATTCAGTAAAGTAGAAATCTTTTATCTCAGATGTGGCATTTACTTTCACATGCACCAAATTCCTACCAAAAAGGCACAAAGGCTGTGATTGTATAGGACAGCTGTACTGGGAAATAAACATACACTTCTTGTTGTCACATGTTACAATATAGACATTTTCTTGAACTGCTTCAACACTTGTAATGCATTCACTGGTCTTTAGTAAAATCTTAGAGAGATGGGTACTTTGCAGATAAGTTAGAAATTAACGGCATGCTGATATACATGACAGATGTGGTCAAGTGTGTTTCTTTAGACTCTTTAAAAATACAAAAAATATTCAGAAAGCCTACCTTACGTTTCCTTCTAGATTTGGGGACAACCTTTTCTGCTGGCAGGTCAGTTACGACATTGTGCTGCATGTTGGCTGCTTCTTTCACCCCGGTGTTCGTTAGCAGCGACTCCTCTGGTAAGTGCTGTGGAACTCTGGATAAAAGAGTCAAATCAATTTTGACCCAAAGTGCTTTGACTTCCTCAGTGTCCTTCAGAGGAGACAGGAGCTCATTCCTCCCAAAAGGAACAAGTGTGTAAAACTGTTCTTCCAACTCTTTTGCTATGTCGTTGTTAGTCCTGGTGTTAACTGAAGCAAAGGCACCACAGCCGCTGCCTGCTTTGTTGGTGTTATTTCCCCCTGTGTCCTTCAGTTTCTGGTCACTTCCAGCTGGGACTGAGGCCAGAGTTTGAGGTTTGTGTAAAGAATACTCTTCTGGTTCAGAATGAGATTCTGTATCTGAGGAAGTTGAAGATGAAGATTCTGTCTCAATAAATTCCTTGGATTTGGGTGCTGTTTTACCTGAACCCCTTGTACGCCTCTTGTCACAGGCAGTGACACACCGTGGTTCCTTTCTGTGATCAACTTTGGTGTTGCAGGGCCTAGTTTTAGGCTGTTCACATATGTTATTTTCCAGAAGTACTTGGTTCAAGTCAAGATGGTCAGCTGCGTGGCTGTTTAAGTTATCACCACCAGAGGTCCTTTCTGTCCTTCTCAGCTGCTTTTTACAACCTGTCCTTCTCAGAGGACCACTCTCTGCAGAAATGACCGCAACTGAAGGAAGTGGCTTTTGCTTCCCACCTTTGTGGCCTGGGGCTTTGTTAGCTGTTCTGGGCCTCAGTTCCTCTTTGCTGGAATTCTTAACCTCTTTATCTCTAAGACTGGCTTGACAAATGGCAGGTAGATTTTCACAGTCTTGCCTTTCATCTTTTACTTTGCTGTAATATGGAAAGGTATCCAGTCCGTTTTGGTTTAAAATAGGTGCTTTGTGAGGATTTACCTTATTTAACCATTTATCCAACTGCCACTTGTTTGATGATGGCTGTTCAGGCTAAAAGATAAAGTTCAAAATCCCCAACAATTTATAACACTCCACTTTACAGATTCTTTATAATGCTGTTATACTTTGATGGAATTGTTGATGTTAATATGTAGCCAACATATAAAAATGTAAGTTTTGTTTGTGGCTATTTTACAAGCACCAGACAATGATGAGACAATTCCATTGCCTAACAACATAAAACTGTGTTGCTGCAGCAAACAAAGAGCCACAAGAAACACTATTCCAGATTAGGAGCAGGAGGTTCAATCCATATTGGCCCCTTACCATGGAAGGAAAAAGATTAAAGCTCCCTCATCCCCTCTAGGGTTCTGCCTCAGGGTGAGGCCCATGTACTTATTCTAGAGTAAAAATCAAAAGTTTGCTGGCTATGTATCTTAAGTAATACAAGTGTTAATCCCAAATATCTACCACTCTATCTTCCACAGTGGCTAATCACTTTCAGAATTCACAAACAACATACGAAGATGACTGTCTTCTCATCTGGGTACCAAAAACTGCTATACACCTTAAGTGTAGAAGTTCTACTGATGTGTACTAGTCATTAGGAGAAAAAATCAGGGTGCACAACTCTCTCAGCTTCCCATTTTTCTAATAAACATTTTGTTTATTCTAAACAAACAAAATAAGCAAACAAAATGAAAGGGTGGAGTAGTGGTGGCAGGAAACTGAGGCAAGATGGGACTAGAGACCAGGAACAAAAGAAGGGACAAAAGACAAATGGGGCCAAAGTAAAAGATGAAGGGGCTAACCTAGAGCCCCATGGAGCAAGCACGAGTTCTTGGCACATCTGGGGCTGCTGACCACAGAAGGGAACCATAGGCAATTCAAACTGAAAAGAGTGTCACTTTTCTGGGAAATCAGGTGTCAGTGACTGGCCAAGTAGATATCTTAGGCTGCTAAAAACACTCATGGATCTGTTGATGTTCCTCAAGTTGTCCTTGAGGGAGTTTGTCAGTCATCCAGAAAGCCAGACAAGCGTTTGTCTTCCCACCTCCAACTTATTTAACTGCCCAGAGAATGGGACACATCCAGATCTAATGACCTGCGTTGATCCAAGTCACAGACAGGGTTTGATCCATGTAAAAGACCTCCCTACCTATGCCAGTTGGCTACTGGTAACAAGGGACAGGCAGTGCTGTGCTAAATACGCATACTACTCAGTCATGTTGAGATGGGGACAAAGGCATTTAGGTTATTTTCTTTGTTTAAGCTTCATGATTTTGAACCTTTAGATTAAACTGTGGATGTGATTTTAACTTTTTTTTTCTTCCAGTGGGTGCAAAGACTGGGAAAAATGTTTCACTATAAAGCCTTATTTTCTCACAATTTCTCAGCTGCATGAAATGCCATACTACGCTTTGCCTCAAGGCACTTTCCCATTCAAAAACAATTCACCCATCAAGTTGTCACATAAAACCTCCCCGATTCTAAACCCATTACTTGGATGGAAGTTTCACTGATTTGGAAATTAACATTTTGACTAGGATGAAAGAACTCCTTACCTCTGGGCTGGAATAATGTGCAGGCTTGTTGCAGTCACTCTCAGTAGAGCTGCTTTCACTCTCTGTGTCTGATTCTGAACTGCTTTCAGATTCGCTGGAGCTGCTGCTGCTGCTGGAGCACTTACTGGAGACCCCCGAGATTCTGCAACTGGACTGCTGTGTAGCAGTACTGCTAAATCCAGAGAGAGAGAGAGAGAGAGAGCGATTTACACATAGTAAATCCAGGCACATTGCTTTCACTGCTTCTGACAGCAAGCTCAGGTGGTGCAATTTGGCTCAGGACAATTGCCAAAACAAGGTCATGGGCAGCTCAGAGGGGACAGTGGGAGCAGGCTGAGGGGTGCTCAAAAGTCTGGAGAAGTACAAAACTAAGCAGGGGGTTTCCTCGCCCCTGGAAGCAGCTGCATGGGGACTAAGCAGGGTCAGTTGCATAGAATGCAACTGGAAAAGGGAAACCGAAAACTGGGTAGGGGAGTGGAGTATGCCCCCTTGGAGAAAATGGCTGACTGGAATCTAGAATAGAAACATGTTAGGAAGGAAAATAGTAAGCAAGATTTTGTTAGAGATCTTTTGTTCTCTTTAAAAGAGTTGCATATCATAATTTATTTACTGATTTCTTTAATACTATTTACAAAGCAGACTAAAACAAACCAACTAAGCAATGTATGGTATCTAAAGCAACAGTAACATATGTAAAGAAGAAAAGGCATGAGAGCTTTAAAAATATTCTAAAGAAAAGGTGTCACACTTGCTGATAGCAGAAATATTTAATTATTAGCTGTTACTGGGAGGCTAATAATTAAATATTAGTCTGCCAGTAATATTAAAGGGAGCTCAATATTCTTGAAGTCATTATGCATTTGCAAGATTCTCTCTTAAGTGCTTCTCTACATGAGAGGCTTGACCCCTAAACTCAGGCTGCTGCTTCTCTTTTCATTGTAAATAACAACCTCCATCACCACCACAGCTGCCCTTTACACAGACTTTTCCCCAAGGAGGTTGTATTTCTCTGCCTCCCTATGTATTCTATTAGCTAGCCACAAGATGGCGCTGAGGTATAGTTGCACTTCAGTGGATTTGTGACTTCTCATGAGGCTCCTATTCCAGAATGTTGAGGCTTAAAATTTAATACCAGACTTTCGCTTCTTTAAAAATACCCAATAAAAGGGCTGGGAAACCTGGTAGAGGCCCTGAAGGGTAAACATGAAAAGGTCCCTCAAACTTCCATGATTCAGGAATTATAAGAGCATAATAAATGCCTCCTGTGGAGAAACCTAAGGTAGATGTTGACAAATGGTAGTATGTGGGAGGAAGCTGTCCTAAACTGATTATGGTGGTCACATTTAAATAGAGGTACAGGAGAGGCAGCTGCCATATAACTTTCTGTATCATGTCACTTGAGCTTTGTTGTTCAGTCGCTGACAAATTCCACAAATAGCAGGCTCAGAACATTCACAGTACTCTTTTTTAGTATAAGTTGGGAAGAATTAGCTTAAAACACTTAAGACAAAAACATATTCAAGACTAAGATCAATGACACAATGCTATAGGCCCGAATATCTGAAAAGAAGTAACCACAGAATCATAGAATAGTAGAGTTGGAAGGGGCCAGAAGGCCATCAGGTCCGACCTCTTGCTCAATGCAGAACTCCAAGTTAAACCATCCCTCTCAGATGGCTGTCCAGTTGCATCTCGAATGCCTCTAGTGTGGGACAGCCCACAACCTCCCAGGTTAATTGGTTCCATTTTTAAACTGCTCAAACAGTCAGGAGGTTCTTCCCAATGTTCAGTCAGAATCTGACTTCCTGTAACTTGGTCCTGTGATTCTGTGTCCTGCACTCTGGGATGATTGAGAGGAGATCCTGTCCTTCCTGTTTGTTGTAGTCTTTCAAGTACTTGAAAATGCTACTACATGTCCCCTCTGAGTTCTCTCTTCTTGAAGCTAAACATGCCAAGTTCTTTCAATCTCTCCTCACAGGGCTTTGTTTCCAGTCCTGGAATCATCCTTGTTGTTCTCCTCTGAAACCTTTCCAGCTTGTCTCCACCTTTCTTAAACTGTGCTGTCCAGAACTGGCCACTATACTCCAGATGAGCCTAAGCAATGCTGAGTATAGGGGAACTAGTACTTCACAGGATTTGGAAGTGATACTTCTCTTAAGGTAGCCTAAAATATCATTTGCTCCTTTCCCATCTCCTTGTTGACTCATATTCAGCTTGTGATCTACAACAATTCCAAGACCCTTAATTCCAGTTAAGTCTTTCAATTGATTTCCTGTGCAGGTGGAAGAGTGTTTTCTGCTGTGCTGTACATAATATGCACTGCTATTAAATTTCTCAAAGAATAGCCAAGGTAAAATGTACTATAATTGGCAGGAGATGCCCCTAATATTTTGTATCACTACCTTCACATGGTATGTTCTTCTTTATTCTGTTCTAGACCTCAGCTACTCTGATGGCATAATCCTAAATCTTTGCCTGGCTGGTGTTTAAACCTTTCAAATTTATAGAGTGTACCAACCCTTGCACACCAATCCTAAACACATTTACCTGCTTATTTATTTCAGAGAGCTAACTTGGAAATAATGTACTTTTGATCATTTCTGTTGTCACTCAAGCCTAGCTAAACATGCCCAGATCTTCACATCCTTTTTAGCAAAGTTATTATCAACTGGCTGCGGTTAATATATATTGTTTGTGTACACACAAATTGCATATACATTTTTGAAGGACTCACAAAACTGAATGCAGGAGTTCTTACTGGAATCAGACAGAGAAGGCCTATTATTGAAGCTGTCATATTTCACTCTAATAAAAGTCACACAAAATTGGATTATTATGGCAAAATTCTTTTTACCCAATGAAAATTCCTCTTTTAGCCAATTCTTAAACCAACATAAGACTATCCATGCATTTCATCTAATTTCCCAATGGATGTATTTTCCTTCACAAACTATATTGCATTTTATTATCTTTGTTATTTTTAGCTCATCTACACATTATCCTCCTCATCAGTCCCCAGAATTATTTGCAGTTCCTTCAAAATTAATGTCACCAGGCTTAACTGAACTGTAAAGCCCTCAACAGCTTTGCCTCCAGAAAAGATATGGGCAGGACAGAGGTAACTGTGCTGGCATCAATTCAGCCCTAGAAGTATTACTCCTGCAAATGGATTTGACAACAGCTGATCAGGGTGCTTCCAAATGAAGCTTTTACCCTACCTTGTTCAGGAGATTTTACAGGAATTTCAGATTTCATCATATTGGATTTTTAACCAGCACCATGTCCAGGTTTCTAAAGGTCCTTGGTGAGAAATCTTCAATGGGCCACTCCTCCAGTAACTCCCCACCATTGTCACTGGCTTCTACTGCTCCTCATCCTCTTTCTCACCACTGCTACTGCTTGCTTGACAGGCAGGCAAAGAGACAGTGAGAAAGGAGGCAGGACATCTATTGTTTCTGCTTCTCATCATCATGTTTAAAATAAAATACACTATATGTGCATAAACTAAAAAAGTCTGAATATTTACTTATTTAAAGCTTTTATAGACTGTCCCATTACTAGCAACTCAGGACAGTTTACAAGAAGCATAGATAAAAATAGCACAGCACCCAGCAATTCACAATAAAATCACAATCAAAACCAATTAAAATAACGGGAGAATAAAAAGGTTTTCTCCTGGTGCCGAAAAGAAAAAAGTGTTGGCGCCAGGCAAACCTCTCTGGGGAGCATGTTACACAATTGGGGCACCACCACAGAGAAGGCCCTCCTCCAGGTAATCACCCTCTTAGTCTCTTTCAAGGACGGCTCCTGAAGAAGGACCTCCACCTCATATTTTAAGGGGCGGGAGGGCATATAGGGAATAGCTACATAATACCTTCTAACTGCTAGCCCTCCATCTGAATGTACAAATAATACCTATATCATATCATGCTTTTTGACACTGTAAAATAAATGAGCATCAATGTCCTTCCCATATAATTTTCATTTTACTTATCTGACCAACACTTGCTCCATTAGAAAGGAAGTAACAGAAATCGCTGTCATAATTCTGTTCTTAAATGATGCGCTCATCCTATATCCAACACTCAGTGGTGCTACTGGGATTGTGTCGGTCTCCTCTTCATTTTATGCCAAAACAAGAATGGATGCTGCCTTGTGGTAGATAAGCATGATTCTTACAGCAGTATGACTGAATTTAAAAACAGTTGCCTGGATTCCCAGTTGCTTTCACTGAATTTCAGATTGCTAAAGTGTTATTTTGCTTTCAAAATGTCCTTCACAGTATAGTTTGCTTAGATTCCTTTTGAAATTTGTTGGGTGTAATAAGAATGGGAAGATAAGATTCCAGCAAAAAAACCTTTTCCCTCAAATAGTGCTATGAGACACTGCATTTGCCAGACCTGAGAGCCCTAGAATAACCTGATAGCTGGATATAACTTTTGTTTCTAGCCAATCTTCCTGGGCATCTTTTGAAGTCTTAAGGAAACAAAATTGTCTTTCTGCCTTACTGATTCATGATTCTGGATACGTGAGCTCTAACGAGTATGAATTCTTTGTATTGTTCCAGTTATTATAATGTATTTAATTATTTGTAAATTTATTTCCTGCCTCCCCATAAGCGGTCCAAAGTGGTATACAAAACAATTCAAAATCTAAAATGTAAGGTAAAATAAATCACATTTAAAACTAGAGCATTACAAAGATCTGGAAATCTGCATCGCACTCCAATGAAACGAGAGCACTGGTGTTGTTATGTCATGTCGAGTTGACACTGACTTATAGCAATCCTATGAATAAGTGTCTTCCAAAATATCCTATCCTTAACAGCCTGCTCAGCTTTTGTATATTCAAGGCTGTGGCTTCTTTTATGGTGTTGACCCAACTCACATTTGGTCATCCTTTTCTTCTTCTGCTTTTGACTCTCCTTGGCATATTTGTCTTCTCCAATGAGTCTTGTCATCTCATGATGTGTCCAAAGTCTGACAGCCTCAGTTTTGTCATTTTTGCTTCTAGGGAAAGCTCTGGCTTGATTTGATTTGGGACCCAATTGTTTGTCTTCTGTCAGACCAGGGAATTCACAAAGCTCTCCTTCAGCACCATGCTTTGAATACATCAATTTTCTTCCTGTCAGCTTTCACACCCATATATAGTGATCAGGGAATACAGTACTGA